CTCTCCGTCAGTATTTTTTTGCGATCCTGAGAATTGATCCAGCCCTGAGAATCGCGGAACCTCCGGCCTTTCGCTCTGCCCACCATCACTCAACCAATTGAGCTAAACCTGTTGCCGTTAATAGGTGGATCGAAACCCCGGGCCGGGGGGATACTTAAAGGAAGTTTGGTTGCGGGGAAACCGAACTTTCAAAACCATACCCTGTTTCGCGGCACATATCCGTCTAGGCCAAATAAGGGAGTACTAAAACTTACCGGCTTTATCGATCCAGGATTGGTACGCATGTACTTGTCTTTCTAGCTGTTGCTGCCGTCTAACCTTAAAAAATTTCCTTCGAGTGTCAACACGTTCTCGCTCCTTGGCAAACTCGCTAAAAACAAGGACAGATAACCCAGTTTATCAGTAAACTTGATGAGGATTAAATGGTTGGTAATTAAAAAATGAGTGTGTAAGAACGACGCGAGGTGCATGCATCAAGTATATATCAGTCTTATCTGTTCCTTAAAAATTTGTGACTGCACAAACAGACCACTTCTTCAGAAACTAGTCTTTGGCAAGAGTAAAAGAGTTTGGCTTTCATATCTTGGGGTTCAGAACAATTATTGAAGGTATAAGCAATAAACTGCTGTTCGTGACGCTTCTTTTATCTCGGTCGTTGTGGGGAGGGGTGACGGCGAGTTGTAACGTTGGGGGGGGGGCAAGTAAGGGAAGTTTGAGTAGGGAGGGGTGTGCTTCCGAGGCTTCCAAACTCTGACCCTGTTTCTGTTTAAGAGAAGAGACCTTTTCTCGCTGCCCTGATTCATTTTATTTCCCGTACAGAAGTACGTTTTTTTTAAAAAGTGAAATCACAGATGCAGATTAAAAAACTTGTTGATACCATAAGAAATTGACCGACCACCGTGAACGTTCAGCCGCTTTAAGGCTTCCGTTCAAAATAACGCCCTGTTCAATATGCTTATCACTGACGTTCTATACCCTGCTCAAGACTCGAGATCCCAACAACCATAAGGAAACGGAAAATTGCGTTGTTACTTTAGGAATAATTTCCGACGTTTCGGCAATTCTGGCCGTGTAAAAAACAAGAAAGAATGCACGTACTAGGCTGATTTAGCGACAGAACGGGAACGCCATTTGACGACGGGAAAGCGCGCAGTAAGGACTAAAGGACTAAACTCGACTTCTAGTGCCAATTTGCCGCTGTGCCATTGGTCAAGCCAGTTGTTTGATTTGCGCGCGCCGCCGTCAACTGACATTCCCGTTCTGTTGCTAAATCAGCCTATTCCTCTCGTACAAAACAGACACATAAAAAGCACAAATTTCCAGTACAGTCAAAACTCCCCACCAGGACCACCTTGGGAAGTAGCCGTTGTTTTGAGGTTAAAATAAGGGTGAATGTATCTGCTGGGTCAAATTACTGCAGAGTTGGCCGTCAGGAAAGGTTGAACTGCATACAGAAAAGTACTCACCCACTTAAAACTCCAAGAACTAGGTTGAGTACAAAAAAGGAACCTATTACAATGAGAGATACATAGTAGCACGCGTAGAGATATCCGTCGCTATCCATGGCATCAAATGTCTGTGGAACAAAGTAAAATTTGAAACAGTAACACACAGGTACACAAAACTAAACAGAACTCCAGAAAAGCACCTTTTAAAAGGTCTTCGATTTTCACGATCTAACTTACGGATTTAACCTATAAACCACACTTTTTCAAGTTTTAATGTCAAGATGAATCCGTTAACCCTTTAAACCCTATGATCAAAGTTTGAATTCTTATTTGTTGCCCCTATTCATTTGCTACAGAAGTAGTGGGGAGAGGTTGATACAAAATCAAGCAAATTTATCTTGTGTGATCATGTCCGTAATTCTCATGACCACTCTGTTTTGTCAACACAGCCCAAGGCTATGTTCACACTTGATGCCCGAGCCTTTGTGCCTGGGTATTGTGTTCACACCGTGGGTACCTGAGATGTAACTGTGTACATGCATACAGTGAAAACCTGTATTAAGCGGACAGTGGGCAAAGTCCCCAAATTTATTTCCCCTATTTACTTCAAATGAAACCTTTATTAAGCGGACACATCTATTAAGCGGACGCGGACACCCAAAAAGTACCTGAAATGGTCATTTCTATTGTTGTTAACGGATCTATTAAACGGACACTTGTAATTAAATTCCACCACCCACCATGCCAGAAACCGGAAATGCGAAAGATTGCCTCGAATTGCCACCCACAAATTGTTCGATTTTTACATTAAAAAACGTGACTTGACGAATTTATTTGATTAGTTTCACAGTACATTATTGTTTTCTATTTCGTTTTGTCTGTAAAGAGCTTGTTTCACTTATCTGATTTCTTCAAATTTGAGTTGCAATCTATGTTTTATGGTACTATGATCCATTGGTCCACTTCAAAAAAGAAATTAATGTAAATGTATATCGTCATAGGGAATATTCTAAACGTTTCCACTGTTCATTTGAATCGCATTTGACATCTCATATGACGTTATCTATCGAAACCTGTATTAGGCGGACACTACAGCATTCCCCGAGGGTGTCCGCTTAATACAGGTTTCACTGTATTTGCTCCATTCGCCCTGGCAGACGCCATTTTGAAACGTGAGCGTCGCAGGGAGGTATGAACGTTACTGAATTGCCTCGGAATAAACAGCAGCGCAAGAGTACAAGGTCTCGATCTTTTTTGTATTCCGGCACCGGCACCGGCACCGTGTCCAAATTTTTTGGCATGAGTAATTGAAAAAGGATGTGTACAGATACACGAGATAAATGTCGTATCTCATACCCAATACATAATTGAAGTCCATCCTTCCATTGTTATGCACTGAAAGACGGTTATCATAGCTACTGCAATGTTATCAAAAGTCGTGATGCCGTCGTTCGGACCGACCCAGCCTTCATTGCAGATGAAGCCATCATCACATTTTCTCCCGCGAAATATTTGTCTAACTCCCTTAAATGGTCCTTTATCGCATGGTCTGGGATTCTCTTCTATTAAACCTGCAAGGACAGATGGACAAGGCTTGAAATACTGAGTATGAGTTGCAAAAGGTCTGTAAAAAAAAGGCATCAGAGTTGTTTTTAACTGACAATTGTTGAACTAAAGAAAGGAATCCGGCTTTGACCAATGGCAACTAACGCAAACAATTCAATGAGCCAATCGGGATCAAGTAAACAAATGTGGCTGGCACTAAGCACAGGAAAACACCAGTTACTGCTCTCCTCCACAAAGCATTTCCGCGGTGACCCACTTCCCACGCTCTGAGTAAAAATGTCCCTCTTCCCAGAATTCGCTGGCCGAATGATCCAAAACAACTGTACTTTTTTTGAGTGTCAGTTTATTTAGCCCGAAAATACTAATTGAGGACACTATTTTACGTCTTTTCTGGAGACGGGAGCTAACTTACGTAGTCATCCGAGCCACGTGAAGGTCTAGCCGCTTGCAGTGCAAAGGAAGTACCTTCACATCTCAGTTATTTTAAGACCCTGACTATTGGTCTGTCTCTGGGAATCGAACCCGCGACCTCCCGCTCTGCAGTCAAGCGCTCTATCGACTGAGCTCATGCTGCTGCGGTAAAATGACGACTCTATCGATTTTCAGCGCATAAAACGAAAATAGAAATCTGTTAACAGTTAACTCACCTGTTTCATTGCTGTAGCATGTCGAATGAAATTGATTTTTGAGAAATTCTAAACCTATAATTGCATATATAAGAATACAAAACAAGACAAGAAGAGCTATTTGAAGGAGAGGAACCATGGCGCGGACTATTGACTTCATAACAACTTGAAGACCTGGGGAAAAAAAAAAGAAAGCAAGTCACATATTCATCAAATCCATGAAACAATACTTAGGTAAGATAGCCTCTTGACTGAAATGTGTTTAAAGGAGCAGTGGTCGGGACGAGTATGGCAAGTCGAAAGTGGCAAAATTTTAGGTTCTTATCTTCATTAATTTTAATCGACGGAGCACCAGACTTGAAATCCGGAAATTCCATGTTCAAGATCCACTCTAACCGCTACCGTCAGCCGAATTTGTTTTTCGGTTGTTGTGGTCGTGAGGTTTAACTCGTTGGCTTGAAAATAGCCCATACCCTGCCATTTGGGATTTTTAAACTTGTTGTGTTTCGTTCGAATTATTTGTCTTAGTAATGTGCTCGCCGGCCGCAATGGCCTTTGTACTGCCAAAAGATCTTTGACCCGAGCTTTAAAAGGGCCAGATTCAAGACCATGTAACTACTATCAAAGTTGTCGATATTCTTTTCTTTGCGCCACTTTACGCTACTACGTATAAAGTGGGTCACTGATTTGCGAACAGTACTGCACAAAAGATGGTTGCGTTGGGTTTTTGCTCGTCCTTAATTATACTATCCCTCAGTAACCCGCATTTAGTCTGTACTGTTATGTTCACAAACGCAGTGGCCGGCCAGCCAAAGTAAAGCTAGATTTGTGCGCAAGACCATGGAACTTCGTTACAGTCGAACCTCGCACCTGCGACCACCTATATGAAAAGGACTAAAATCGGTTTGCCATTCCAGCCACCGTAGTTAAACCGCTCGTAATCGACTACCTCGTCAGCCTCGTAGGAGCTGATTACACGAGTCCGGCCGGCCCGGTTTGCCAGGCTAGCCCGCCTTGCCGTGGTGACTTTCATCCCGGTATTACATGAAGAGCCTCTTCTGAGGGCCAGCACGGAGCCACCATGTTTACAGAGAGATTAGAAACATTGCGAGCCCAGCTAACCAAGCTGGCTCGGTTATCATGTAATTACAAATTAAATTTGTTAGGTCTTTTACGCTGAGGTCTCAGCACAATTTCACCAGCCCGGCAAGCCGGATCAACCTCGATCATGTTATTAACCCCTTTTTGGTGACACTTATCAAAAACACTAAAATCAGTTGGACTATCCTAAATCTCTCTCTCTCTCTCTCTCTCTCTCTCTCTCTCTCTCTCTCTCTCTCCCTCTCACCTATTTTATTTATTTATTTATACCAGTAACTTTTGTTTTTATTTTTTTTACATATTTACAATCAAAATAAGTTACCTTTACCAGACATTCATTTATTTAACAAGCAATATATCTATAAGACTAAATACAGTTTTGATCACCTACTTTACTTTCTGTTCCGTAAAAACAAATCAAAATTCTCAATAAATGACTTACGTATAGTAAGCAAAAACAAAACAGATAAACATTAAATTACTTACTAGGTACACCAGATATGAGTTTAAGAGGTCGTAACACTCTAACTGCTCTTAGAGCTTTCACATCCAGAGATGTACCGGGGTACAGGTCTCTGACTTCAGGAAGACTAATAATCCTGCGCAAAATAAGAAAAAGTATGACTGTTTTATTCCGCTCAGAAATGTTCAATTACGCAATAATTGTGGCTAGTTCGGTGGAAGCGTCTTTGCCTGGGTTTGTCATCTCCTACAGTGGGGTGGGGCTGGGTAGGGAGATGAGAGAAAAGTGAAATTTACTGCTTTGCCGTTCACGTTCTCAAGAGAACTTAAAATTTGGACATTTTGCGACGTATTTGTTCAGGGACGGGAAAGAAATTAACAGAGAAGCTTGAAGCAGGTGCCTTGGTGCACATTTTATGTCTTCCAAAAAAGTTTTTTTCGTATTAACAAAACCTTAGCGAAAAATACGCGTCTATACTGACGTTTTCGCATCGTTTGCGCACGTCCACACTAAGTGGCTATTGTCGGAAGTCTTTGCGGTTCGCTCTTGTCGATTTCCGCCATTTTAAGCTTGCACTCGTTGTGCACTTGTATATGCCCTAATTATGACGTCAATGTTTTCGTAGAGCGCCGTTCACAGTTATATATTGTAAATTGTTATTCGTTCAAAATGTTTCGCCGTTTCTGACTGGCTCTAATGCCCCAGCTAATTCTTAACATCCAACTAGCGCCTACCATACTTGGAATATGCGAGCAATATACCATAGATTCGATGGTATATTTGATTGAAAACGAGGTTGATCGATGGCATATTTGCCTCGAAACGAGGATGTTTGGGCCGTTGAGCCGTTCACGGCTTTCCGAAGACGAAATAGCTGAATTTGTTACTAAAACTGAAGGGAAGAAATGAAAGAATAAACAAAACATATTGCTCGATGGATTTTATCTACTTTTTTTAGAAATATCTGCAAGAAAAAAACACCTGTTTGTATCCTGAAACCCTGCTGAGAAATAGGTCAAAGTCTACGAGAAGGTAAGCTTGTTGAGAACTTAGTAATGTTTTGAATGAACAATAAAACAACTATTGAATTCGGCTTTCGTATGATGTGAACAATTATCGGCTGATCTCGGAGGCTGTTACCACAACATTCTTCTCTATCTGCATAATTCTTCACATCATACGAAGCGTCATTCAATAATTGTTAATTAATGAATATTGGATTGCATTTTAGAAGGCAAATCTGACTGTCATGATACAAGCTGACGAAAAACCTTCATAACAGTTCACAAAGTGATTTAACCAGAATTGCCTTTTTCCTTTAAGAGGACATTTTCACGTGTTTTTATCTGAGTCAGACCAATCCATCACGTTTGCCATGGACAAAGGCATTTATCACGACAGTAATTGTAACTATGGCAAGACAGGCTTTAATCTCAACTACATAGGCTTGTGTGCTAAACCTTCATTCTATACTGTAAACATTAATAGGGAAAAGCTTGAGGAATAACAATAGCTTATTAACGTGGAAACCAAACGACGAAACTTCTGGAAAATTAATGTGATTAATAGAGAGAATTGAGTGTTACAATTTTCTGTCGCAACTCTGAATTCAACATCGGATTAAAGCCATCTGTATTGTTCAGGGCATAACTTTCTCGGCTTTCCGAGATAATTTAACAGTTATTAAAAGCTAAAAAAAAAAAAGCCAGTTACTTCCAAGAAAATGCCGGGATATATTCTTGCAGGTGCTACATGATTATTTTCAGCAGCTCACAAAGACCGCTATTCCTAAACGCAGCCCATCGATTTTTTAACCATAAACATTTACACGGACTTACAATGAGATTTTAAAAACGTTGAGTTGTCAAGCAACATGTACAAAGAATGGTTCAACCAAAATTTGTATTAACCTTTGTAAATATACTTGACACAGCCTTACAATACAGCATGGCACCATACAGTATTTATTCAAATTGCTAACTTCTGTTTGTTTTGACAAAGTGTCGAAGTGACGTACAGAGAGCTTAATTTTGGGGAAACGCTAGTTTATAGACACATCAGGTCATGACGTTTGTCGATGGTCTTCTTTGAGCCTTCGTACAGTGAAACCGTTTACATTCCGCCATGACGTGATACAAGAATGTTACGCAGCTGGCCCCAGCTGGTCAAAAAATGGATAGCGCTATCCATCGAATAAATCACTATCCAGCGGATACGTATAAGGGAAACCAATTACACTATCCGTTGGATAGAGATTAGGGACTTTCGGGAGCTTTAGCATCGACCAACGGAAACGGCAATGAAAACGTCGCTTTAAAATGAATTCCCGTTTTTCAAACACCGTCGCGTTTATTCCAATTTGCTGAAAATGGCAAATCTAGGCGAATTTCCCTGGAATTTATTTCTTGAGCAGCGCACTCAACTTTAGAGAAGGAAAAAGAAATTCGTCGTCGCTTGTCTTCGTCCTCCATAAAACTTGCAATTAGGCATTTTCACGTAGTACTCGTGCAAGGACGGTAAAGAAATGTACAAAAAAGCGTGAAACCTATTGCCTTTTTTGACGTCCTCGTTACCGTCCCCGTCGTCGTTGCTAAAGCTCCCTTTTAGCATCGACGACGGCGACGGCAGCGAAAATGTCACTTTTAAAATGAATTGGCGTTTTTTCAAACTTTCCCTGGACTTGATTTCTTGGGGAACGCACTCAAGTTAAGAAGGAGAAAGAAAATTTCTTCGTCGCTCGTTTACGTCCTCCATAAAACATGAAATAAGGCATTTTCACGTCGTAGTCGTGAAATTACGGCTAAGAAATGTAAAAGAAAAAAAAGAGTGATGCACGGTGAAAACTTGTTGTCTTGCTCAATAACCCTATTGCTTTTTTGACGTTCAGGTTGCCGTCGCCTTCGTCGTTGCTAAAGTTCCCTATTTATTCAGTGGATAGCACTGTCCACCTTTTGAACAACTGGGGCCTAGGGATTATTACGAACCGTCACGCTTGAACCCTTTAAGCCCTAAGAGTGATCAGCATCAAATTTCTCGTTGTAAGATCAATGCTTCGTAAAACAGAGTGGTCATGAGAATTACGGACATGATCACACAGCATAAATCTAATGGCTACATTAACAAGTTCTCCCCACTATTTCTACTGAAAACGTATAGGGATAACAAATGAGAATTTGAATTTCGATGTTAGGGTTTAAAGCGTTAATACTAATATCAGATTGTGTATTCTCCATACAACTGTGATCCAAACACGTTCTATGGTGCTGATGAGTCCACCAAAATATATTGTGATGATTTTCTATATTCGCATGACATTTTAGGTTTGATCACGCATCAACACTGTAAGGAGAAATTAGAAAATGAGCTCAAGCTGGAAGCTGGACAAGGCCGGAATCTGAGACCGTTTTCGTGACAAAGGCGGTTTTACAAAGGACACTGACTTCAAACGGAATTGCTAAGAACATTTAACATGGTGACATTATCTTCAAATCTGAATAATCAATATTCATTTTAAACTTAATCAAGGGATAGAAAAACAAGGCACGGAAGACTATGCTCAATCGTCATTCATGTTTGCCACTCTTCACCTCTTCACGAAGAATACGCCGCCCCAGAATATCAGCTGGAAAAATCCTCCCTTATAACTTTTCAAGAGGAAGAATGCACGCTTCACCTTGCTGTTCCGGCGCCTTACACTGCCACGCAAGGCTGAGGGGTTTGACAAAGTGTCGGTGTTTAAATATTAATCGCCATTCGACACGACATCTCCAAAATGAATGACCAGACAAAAAGAACAACAAAACCACGTCTTGTTAGCCAATACTGACAGCAACTATGATTATTTTCGCCTCGACAAGATATGGATTCTTCCCCCAAATCGAGCATCGAAACATTTCCATTACATTAACAGCACTTCAAAATTCACACGCACTGTTTGGCCTAGTAAAATGCTGAAAAAATTGAATAACATTATAGTTTTTTAGAATTGAGGAAGTCAAGGCCGAACGGAATGGAACAAAACATGTAATAAACGCGACGCCATGTAAGAATCCAACCCGTAACGAAAATGATTGACACGAAATGATTGCGGCAAGAAAATGGGATGATATGCGTATAAAAATACGCGAGTCTAACAGTTTCAGAAAGTGTGTTTGTCTGAAAAATACTCAAAATAATTAATGGTGATCAGCGGAGCTAACTGAACACTCTCTTGGCTACCTTAGAAAGATACTGTTATCACCATCTTCAAACCTCTCTTTCGAAACTTTTAATTACTCAAAAAAGTTATTCGGAAGGCTTCCGAGCAAATTGCTTTGAAAACAAGGCAAGATCTGAGCCATGATATTCACATTTGTACTTCAAGCAGCGCGCAAGCCCGCAAGCGCACGGTGAGACGAACTTTCAATTATTTTCATGAGCTTCATGATACTTTACGGTTTTCAAAACTAGCAACGTGGAAATTAATATTTTAGATCAAAACGACAATAATATTGGGCTCGGATAACAAATTCAATGCTGAACTTGTTATCCATATATTCTTAATCTCACACAACTTTATGCAAAAAGGTGCCTGGTTTAAAAATTATGGCTAAATAAATAATCAGTAAAAACAAATAACTTTTACATTTCGGTTTAACGCCACGAACAAGCAAGAACTGCGAGTGCACAAAGCAAGTAACAACACAAAGCATTTACAGGCACTTACCCAATAACAACCACGACAAAATCAAGAATATTCCACACATTTCTCAGATAAGATCCAGGGTGTAACAAAAATCCGTAGGCCATAATCTTTAGAAGCGCTTCGATACAAAATATAAGGACGAAATATAGTTCTGCCTTCTCCTGTTGGGTAACAGTAAAAAGAATCCAAATGTTTGGGTTTAACGCTTGCCACCCGAACAAAAAAAAGAAAAGAAAAGAACAAGGAGATTTGGCTATTTTTAAGAGGTACTTACCAGTTTCATAGACAACTCTGTTCTGTCTTCCTCTGGTAGAGGAGTATTTAGAGCCAACACAATGCAGTTGGCTGCGATAGCAAGCAAAATAAAATATTCAAATACTGTGAGATAGGTTAAGAGTCAACCACAGCACATGTGCTTTAAACACTAAGCCTACGGCCCTAAATACCATCTATATCTAAATATATATAGGTTATAAAGTAATCCGAATTATTTAACTTAGGCAAGTTACCCCGATCATTGCGACTAAGGTTGGTTTATTGCGATCACAGAAAATAATACAACTCATAAATACTTAACCCGAGCAGCTATAAAGAGCATTAAAAGCACAAAAAGGATATTTCCATTCCACGATAAGTTTTGATAGTCGACGGATCGGGTTGGTCTCTGATAAGCAAAACAAGGCATATGTAGGGCTCCGAGCCTGTTGAAATAGCTGACTTCCGTACAGCGACATGGAGCGTGCTTTTTGGGACATGTAAGACATGCGTTCATTATTATCCGCTGCGGAGTTTGGCATTTCCAAGGATTGTGGCAAGTCGCCTGTCTTCTTTGCTGGTGTAGCTGCATATCTGCTTTTATCCATCCCTGAAAAAAGCACCAAAAAGCGCATAAAGTTCGTCTACCGGCATTTCAATATGGTCACTGGCGAGGAGCTTCGAGCGGGCGATAGAATCTGCGATATACGCACGACCGGTCTCAGTAACTATCGATGTTAACATACGACATCAGTAATAAGGCCTCGGCATTTTTTCACCAACCATCCCACATTGTGGAAGCCACAAGATAACTGATCGAACAAAAATGACTAAGTGCGCGTTATTTCTAGTGATTCGATTCCAAAGAAGCTCATCAACACCGAGCCAATGAAGTCGAGGTCAACTCCTCTTCCTCCCCCTCGTTCGAAACGTTCGTCACTAGCGGTAACCGGCCAGTTCAGAAATTATGGTTCATAGCCTGAGCTTCTCATGACAAAAAAGTACCGTAGCGAAGTGCGCATATTAATCAGCTTCGATACACCTGCTAGGGAAAGAAAAGCATCACAAACTATTGATATTTAAATTCGGTCCTTCCATTATTATAATGAGGTATCGATCTGACAACCTGCCACCTTACGCTGGGCTTTAAAAAAAAATAATGAAACTTGCTGGGAGGAAGTTTCTTGGAGAAACATAAATTATGTCTGCTTCAACGCAATAATCCTGGCTAGCCCAACTTTAATATCTTCTGAAGATAGTGTAAGGCTCTACGGCCATTTTTTTACGAAGGTATTTGTTATTACTCGGGAAGACTAAAAAGAGACGACGATTGTGACAGCTAAGTCAAGGAGTGAACATTGTCCGGCATCTGTTTCATAATACGACAGTTTCGCGTACAATTCCCGCTGTATTTCCCTTATCTTGGCTCAATAATGCATTTCTTTATTTAAAAGTGAGAAATGGGCAACTTAGAGCTTACAATCGTTCCATTAATTAATAGGAAAAGGTCAAAAAGCAACAAATGATCACGAGAATTAAACGGCAAGTCAAACGGACTTCCCACCTACAACGAAAAGTTATACTTCGGGGACTCCGAAGAGTCCAATTGCGTAGGATGTTATCATTTTGAAATCTTTTACTCACATTTCAATTTTTCAAAAGGTTTTTGACTTTACAATACATCTCTTCTAAACAATTTTACTTCTTGCAATCAACGAAAGATAACCGCAGCTCAAGCAAATGCGCCGATAAGTGATTCAACATTTCATGATAAGTTGTTGCTGCAGACTCGACAACCGTAAATTAGCTTTTGATTGAAGATCGGTGAAAAAAAACACGATACCATTCATTTCTATCCCCCAAAGAGAACCAAAGCTTTAATAGAGTGATCTATTCAAGTCAGATACGAGATACGAGCTGGCCAATAAGTTGCTTATTTCCTGCCTTCTTCCTTAAGCAAACGTAATTTGTTTTCAACGCAAAATTAAAACTAGTCGGGCGTTCGTGAAGGCGTTTTCCCGGAAATGAGTTGGGATACGATATGTAAATGGCAGTGAATGATCTTAAAAAAAGTGAAATCATGTTAACACAGAACAAATTCCAAAGGGTTTTCTTTTCACAAATTCACTTGGGCGGCATCGTAACAGGTGACTGACATCATCTATATTTTGCTCTCGTCTTTCAAACGATCCTACAATTTCTGCTTTGGTAAAAGCCATGCCGCTAATTAGATTCCACATTTCAAAAGAAGGAAAAAGCGGTTAAAATTAAAATTTTAATGACTTTCTATTTAGCTAAAAGTGAGATACGATATTACCAGAGGTGAAAAACCCACAAAAAAGAATACTTTAACAGGAGATCTTCAACCGCATTAGGAAGCGCGACTAAAGAACGTAAGTGTTAGATATGGTGATTTTCCGCCATAGTGACAATCAAAATTGACGGCAATAACTTTACAACATTCTCATTTGTGAATAAAGAAGAATTCCAACTTTCCGAGATTTGCTAGCACTTATCGTCAAACTTTTTCGTTGGTTGTTACTTTCGTTAAGACAAATTAAGTCCACCATAAAGTACAATGAGTTTTTCCCTGACTGAGTGACCGTTTTGCACAACAGCAAACGACTTCCAAGTAAACCGATAACCTAGTAATTTTCTATTTATTTATTTATTTCTTACCTTAATTTCCACATAGAGCAACCTTTACAGTGATGCATTCTGTTACAAAAACAGAGAAAAATATATAATTAGGGCCTAGTCGTTTAATCCATCTCCAGTTAACGACTGATGACGAAATGTTTTTTGGAGTCAGGCTATTGCGCTGAAAACCTTAGATTTGGGGTATAAGAAGTGTTCTCTCACACCGATACATATTTTAAATGATAAATCAAGGAAGTGTATACGTTTTTCGTGTTCGGCAATCATCTGATAGATTATTCAGCGTGGGTTTATATCACGTTTTTAAGTTAATATGAGTGTCTGCCACCGCAATTTTATCCCTGCGACGAATATTGTACAAAGCCTATCTACGGCTAAATCAATGAACCAACAACACCAAAAGTATAGGTAGCAACTATAAATAATCTGTGTACAAAGAATACGATCTTGATATTACATACCTGTTTATTTGTTTAACGAAATGTCGTACTGTTTATTACTGTACTAAAATCGCTTATTATAAAGCTGTTACTGTGCATATTATATTGAGAACTGCATTTGACAGACTGCTGAACGTCTTCCTCGAGTTCTTTCAAACAAAACGTGGTTTCCGGCAATCAGATGTAAGTTGAACGAAAACACTCATTTGAAGTGCGTAATAAAATAAAACAATGGGTCATTGTTACCACACATCTTCAAGTGTAGGTTTTTTTTTCTTCAGGGAATTGTCTAAACGGTCTTGGTATTTTACATTAGGGGACCAGTTTACTAAGGGAGAACAGGTTTCGAACAAGTTAGCGACAGTGACGCAATGGAAATAACGAAGGCTGAAGGCTGCCTGAACAATTAAGGACGCTCAAAACAAAGACATGCTGATCAAGATGCTTGTGTGCTATTGGCCCCTTTCAAACTATAAAAGTGACAAAATTTGTCTGTCTCTACCAAAAATCCTTAACATCGAGAAACGCGTCAATCAGTCGAAGTAAAACTGCATAAGAAAAGATACGCGGAAAACCGCGCGGCTCCTTATAAAAACACTGTATAAAACCTACATTTTTATGGATGGATTTTCTCTTCTTTGACACTGACAAAAATTTGTCAAGCGCAGCGCAGGAAAACGCTGTTTTTGAAGATCGTACAACTTGAATGACAGAATTTAGTAGGAATTCTTGACAGCGTCTACACTAACCCTTACCCTGCATTTATAACGAAGGCAACAATATTTTCAATGTAAAGTGGATGGGCAATAAAAGAACAAGTGATTGGCATTTATAAAATTGCGCGTCGGCCCTCTTGTATTAGCTGGGAAAGCAATAGCATGGAGAATTTAGAAAGAGAGAAAATCAGCCAATAACAGAAAATCACAATGATTTAAATTAATCGTTGTCCTTGAGATAAAATTCCTCAAGTGTCGTCAGTTGGTCAAGGCAAATGATCCGGCTTAAAAAAGCGTAAGGAACCCTTGTAGCGCATTAGTGCAAATAAAAGCGTGTCTGTGTGAAACTCTTGCGGGCGATCATAAAATAAGCAAGATATGTACCAGGAAAAAATGCACCAATCCAGACGGCGACACTGTATTACCTGCCGGTAGTTCCGGATCTCATTAGTTCTTTTCTTTTTTTTTTCTTCTGTTTTTTTTTAAATTTGGGTATGGCTAAAATGAAGGACTCGAAAAACATTATGACGTAATTAAATAGTACTAATATTAAACGATATGATCATCGAGGGATATCTTTCCGCGGATCGTGAGTTGATAACTGTTGTTCTGTGTCAACAAATATACCACAGCAATGAGGGATACCGCCGAACCACTGAGATGGAAAGTGCGCCAAGCAAGTGTACAAAAAAACAGGTGTTTTTTTAAGAAATACTCGAACATTCAAACATAATTTCATTTGCAGACAATTTTTTCACGTTAGAGTAACAGTTGTATGGGACCAGTTTTAAAATGGTCCGAGGTATTGCATGAGAACATTAACTTTGAATACACGAAAGATACTGATCATATCTTCTGTTTTTTTCAAATTGGATGACCTTGGACTTCAGGTAACCCAGTAACACATTTTATCAGCGACTTTTCCAGACTACAATTGTGGTAAATGGATAATGACCGTCGATATTTGTCTAGAAATCTTTCACACCCGCGTTAATTTGGCAAAGTGAAGGCTTCAGATAATGTATTCCATTGGCCACGGTTGCGGATCAGGCTCACTCAAAAGGACAAAAACTTCTCTACACTAATAAAATACGCTTTTAAGGCAAATGTTTAAATTTACCTTCTTCTTTGTTGTGAATATAATTTGACTTCATATCGCACTCAATCTATTCACCTGTTTAGTGAACGCTCAACAGTGACGCCGAGGCAACATATCATGGTGTCAATAAAACTTTTACCAATATTAATGATAGCCAATTAAAGTCGAAGCTCTCCTTGCAACCACTCTTGTAAGCGATCAGCTCTAGAAACGATCACCTTTGTGAAACCTAGTTTAAACTGTGACTTTGGTAATGAAAAGCTCTAAAAAACGGCCGCGACCACTTTTAGAACTATCCAACGGGACCTTTTTTTTGTTTTAAAGCTCTCGTAAGCGACCACTCAGAGTCTTATTCATATAAATCAGCAATTGAAGGAAACTGCACACCGCGCTGATGGTGTAAAAAAATTGGACAAATTGGGACGTAAATTTTAGCCGTGTCTAGTATATCAGATATAAAGACACTCATTAAACATTAATGACACGCCGGACTCGTAGTGTGTTGTCAGATCTCGCAACACTACTAAATATTTGTGTAAAACTGTTGCTGGAAATTCTCCCCTTATATGTCAACACCTCTTTACAAGATAGGATTCTCTCCTGCTCCGGCTTATCTATCCAGCTGTTCACCTCTTCTGACGTCCCTACGGGGGTGTTTTAAAAGGACACTTTGTCAAGATGTACTGCCGGCACTAGTGGAATAGATACATTGTTCATGGCGTTAACTTTCTTTTGCTTCCTTTTAGTACAAGAAGAGGCAACCTCGTTCCCAGGGTTCTCTCCTACTTTGAGGTCAATTTGTCGTGTGTTAAATATTTTGTTTGTCACCGTCTTCATTTTCTTGACGAACTCTTAGGTTTGTCAAACCTGTATTAAAAGGCCAACCTGCATGAAGCGATCAGTTACTACAGTAGCCATTTCCTAAGGGCGACCACCCTTTAAGCGCCAATATCCACATTCAAATTTTCCAAACTAATTCCAACATTTAAAGAGAATTTGACAAAAGATAACAGAATTCTCTCTAAGGTGATGATTTTTGCCAACAAGCACCCTCGCGAAGACACAAGGCTGCGAGGCGGCAGCATAATAAAGCCGCGCGCAAAAGTTTCAAGGCAGAATGAATCTCGAAGCGATGTAACAAAATGTAGTGTAAGGTAACTTTTATGACGTAATGCAAAACAGAGAACGCATTGTTTTCGAGCGAGCGAAAACGTGCGCGAAAGTTCCAAGGCAGAATAAACCTGGAAGCGAGGTAAACATTAAGAGGGTAAGGTAACTTTTATGACATAATGCAGAACAGAGAATGCATGGAGGCTGCTTTGTTACAAACAAGGTTAAGCTAATCCTGAGTTACTACTGATTTTCAATTCCCTTTTAAAACTTAATGATCAAGACTCCTGTAAATTCGTTTCCTCCTAAATTTTGTCTTAGGCTGTTTCCATAAAACAGTTAAAAATTTAGAACTAGAAACTCCTACGTTACATTTTAGCTTTGACCGGTTTTTGAGTAGCCTCCCACGCAGGCGTTTTTAGGGGAGCTCGTATTTCGTCCCTCCCCACAAAGGGGAGGGAAGAAACGCCTGCGTGGGAGGCTAGTTTTTGAGCAACTCAACCCCGTTGTCCTTAGTTGAGGCACTCAACGAACGATTCACTCCAAGTATAATGTGCCTTCCATGACGGTAAATGACGGACACATGACAAACCTGCGGTCTGCATTCTCGTAAATTACGGTAATTCATGACATTTCTAAACAAATTGAACAGCACCCGCGTGTAAGTAAAATCTTTGCTCGTTGGCACTTAGCGATAGCTATAACTATAGCAATAGTTCTAATAACCTTAATAGAGTTAGGAGAAAATTGAAACTGATCTCACATAGGACTTGAAAGGTTAACGGATTTGACTGTAGCTCTTTCTTCAGCGTCAACAATTATGTAAACAAGGATTATTTTGTTCAATTTGATCTTTTGTTGTCAGTTTGTCAGCCTCAACTGACAAGAAAACTAAACTGCATTCCTGGCGTGAATTCTTATTTCTGGCAGTTTTGAAAGACAGAACATTCAAACTTTTTGCGACAGTAACTTTTTCCTTCTAAGTTATCAACAAGTAATCACACGACTCCCACTCCTTGCACGAAAGTGATTCAAAATCCCTGCTTGAGGGCGAGAGTTTTTTGAAACAAGGGAAAAAAGTATTTGTTTTCAATAAAACCGACTGAAATAAGGTATGGAAGGTACCTCTCTTTAAGAAGTGGTGGAAGTGACAACTATCGTTTTAGCCCCCGTTTACACGGGTCATTTTTGAGCGGACGAATTTTTAACCCCTACAACCCGTTCACGCGAAATCGTGCAATTTCTTTACAGATTGCAGTACTGTTTACACCAGTCCGACTTATCAAACAAAGGCGCATAACTAGGCTCCACTGAGGCTTTTACCGCGCAAACTGTGCCAAAACTTGCCCGGTTGAGGAGCGCTTACCATTTTTTAAGGAAATTTCGGTGACAAATTTCTGACAAATGGTACTGGACTTGAAAACGAAAAGAGGAATGGGTAAGAGTTGTACCATTTGCAAAACACCAGATAACGAGTGGGCCTGGGTTGAAACAGACCACCTTCCGCCTTACGAGCAAGCCTGGCACTGGTTAACCAGACAAATGGTACAAAGAATTTCGGTCGTTTTGGTAAAAAAGGCAAAAAGGTAATACCTCGAAAGGTATTACTATTTTCCGGAAAATTTCCACCGGGATGAACCGTTCCATTTGAATTCTCCCCGGAGTTACCGGGTTTCCATACAAATGGTAAGCGCTCCAGGTGTTTTACACGAGTCCGCGTGAAGTGCAACCGTTAGCCTGTTCCAAGCGTTCGGATAGTGGAGAGCGGTGTGGAGTAGAGAAAGCGATGAAAAGTAGAGGGGGACTCTCCTCCTCCCTCGCTTTTACTTTTTCGCGCTCCCTTTTACTTTGCACCGCTCCCCACTATCTGAACGCCTGGAACAGGCTATGCAACCGTAAGCATAAAAATTTTGATCATCTTCTGGTCAGGTCAAAAACTTGCATACTTTGCCGTTCAAAAAGTTGCGCGGTTACGCAGGTCCGGTGTAAACGAAAGGCAGATTTGTGCAAGTTTTTATGTCCGTTCAAATATTTGTCCGAACCCGTGTAAATGGGGTTTTAGATTTGCTATCGATTGTAGGAGAAGAGAACAAAGAAAATTAGATTTAGAAGAAATTAGCTGGGCAAGTCAGCCCCACCATTTCTAACACAAGAAGGATCGAGAGACTCTCTTCTGATCATAGCACTACGGCGATTTCAATAATTAAGACAATTACCGAAAATAAACGTTTAAGTCTTACAAAACAACATACTGTCTGGGTAACAATTACACTTAAGTCGGTCATAAACCCGCTTTCAACTGGAACGAACAATTGTGAAATGTGTTCGCTACAAGTTGCTCAGTGTTGGCAACATCTGACCATTTTTTTTTTTTTTATTTTTTAAAAAGAAAAGACCAACTTCTGTAATTTAGTGTTAAACGGCGTAATTATTGGACAGAGAGATTAAATGGTTAATCTCTCACGGTAAACACGAGTATCGATGCAAAAAAGAGCTTGTTTGTTTATGTCAAAAGCAAGATTGCATAATGACGATGTTTAACCAACTTGAGTAATGTGCCGATAACCTTGCATTTTGGCGATTTTAATACGTCGCATATGCATTCTAGACATTTCTGTCCGCTTCGGCAACAAGAAATAACAATGGTAAATTAATTGAAGGTGCAAGTGCTCATTGTTTGCTGTTATTTGTGATCACCGAAGTACAGAAGTTCGACGGCGCTTGTTTGTTTCCAAGTCAAATTACTAGCGTGCTGGTAGTCACTATATAATCTCCGCAAACTTCCATTAGCGTGAGCGTGATACTATAAGGCTGTTTGAGCTCAAAAATGGTAGGTTAGCGAACAAATCCTAGGAGAGAGCCTTAGCAGGAGGCTAAAAGGTTTCAAAGAAGCTCGTGCCAACATTACAAAACGGACAAAACTCTTAAATATACGCGCTAAAGACAAGATGGGTTCATGCAGTTCGCCGGCAAAACAACGCGCTTCATTCTCATTTAGTTTAAATGATCAATATGAAGCCAGTATAGCTATACCACACCACTCACCTGTGGTTTTGATACTTGTTGATGTCATAGGTGTCCACTCTTCGCCGAGCGACGAGACGATTTTAACTTCGCTGGGCACTTTTTCGCGGCGATGCAGACCCCACGTCGTCGTTACCTTGGGGTCTAGTAGCTTTTAAAGACATCTGTTTAAAGAAACAAACACAAGAGATATTCTGTAACTTCTGCCCGTCAAAACACCCGTAAGATGGCAATTAACAGCAAATTAATATGCCACATACAAGAAACACATGAAAACATAAAGAGTATGAAGACAGTGATGAAGACTTACTTCTCATTCGCTGAAAGCGATTCGTCTTGCATTACTGGGCTATTCTAAATTGAGTCTTTAACAGGTTAATTGAAGACAAAATGTTTAAGACACCGTCATAGCGTTTTTATGCGAATCGCGCTCACTTTCATAGCTATCTGAAAGTCAAATCAGTTTGAAGCAGTGAGCCAAAGTTGTATTTAAATGCAAATTGCATTTTCACCCAATAAAAAGTCATCACCTACATTTGAATATTCCGTAAATGAAAATCTCTCCTTTTTCTCACTTCCTCCGCAAAATACTGGGCGGAGTTTAAAATTGCTTCAAACTAATTTTCAAAAACTTCTTACGGTAAATGGAAATAACCATACAGCAGCGACACTGTGTCTCTAAGTGAAGAAAATTAATTTATTGCAAGCTACCGAATGCAGTACACGAATAAACAGGGACCAAGCAAATTGTCGACTAATATATAACACATTCCACACTAAACAAAATATCACCTCGACGACATTCTAATTCACAGATATAAACAACAGAAAAAAGGCACAAAAAAAGACAGTCTAGGCTTTTGAAACCGCAAAAACTGATGTGCAAAAATACATATTTAAAAACATACGGTCGTGAACAAAATCAACTCTAGCCACGGAATGATAGTTCACCGGATATTCGTTGTCAGAAACTTCTTAGCTTACCGATAGGCTCTGAATACCCGCAAGATCTTTTCGTCATCAGGATCTTTGCAAGGTGAGCGTGCTCCATATAAGCCAGCTTTAAGTGACTCCCACTACTGACGTAGTCGTAACCTTCCCGTTTCCCGTGGTCAAACCACAACAGGGAGGAAGTTATAACGAAGTGTACAATTCCGGTTCTTTTGTTGCTATTGTTGTTTATTGGTTAGCGGAAAGAAATGTGCCCGAAGCAAACCGAAAAGTAAATGGCGTCTTCCACCATGCTCAAAGAAACGTTACGGGCGTTGACCAAATGGATAGTTTTGGTTTAGTTCATTTTTTTTTTTAATGAGAAAGTTGAAAAACACTAAAGAATGTGTAGAAAAACGTTTTGGTATTACGGTATAGATAGGCTTTCATTTTCTCGACATAACCAGTACCTTATCGCAGAGACTTGTCGATGAAATGCTTCGCGACCGACCAAAATCGTTTGAACATCGTCAAGTCCATATTTTCGTTTTTCAACCTGCTGATCGTCAGCTTACCTCCCAGGCAGATCTTTCCAACGTCTGGGGGCAAAGTAGGACACCACGACAAATTGCCAAATCATATCAGGGAGAAAGTCACTGCAAAATTCCGGTTGTTTTCTTAATAATTTCAAAGGCGAGAAATCTGGTGCAAATAACGGCAAGCCCACCAGAAATTAGATTTTACAGTGAAGACAGGAATACCCTGCGAGCAGAGGCTACATCTTCGCTGTGTGAGCAGTTGTGCGAAAGGTAAACAGCTCACACAGCGAAAAGGTAGCTTCTCCTCGCAGGGTAAGACATGAGAAATAAACACCAAGATATGTTACTTTTAAAGAATGTTTATTGGAAACTTCATTCGTGGGCTATATACAAGTGTCACAGAGCTTGTCACATATCCGTAACCGTAGTACATGTGTTGGAGTTATCCTGGGTGTGAGTGACCCTTGGTAAATGGACTGTTGCTTAAAGCATCGCTATGAAAATCGGTACCTGCTACAGAGCCATGGCTCAGTCTGAGGTCCACAGTTTGAAAGTTCGATCGAACGAGCTGGACACGACGTACTGTCCATCTGAGGAAAGAAAGACGCCGTTAGATTTATCATTTGCCGGTTCAGTTAAGCAATGAGAAAAGATGATCTGAGGCCAGGGTCAACGTTGAACTTCACATGGGACGGACTTGATGTTAACGCAACCTCATTCCCAGGTTCTCTCCTACCGGTAGGAGAGAACCCTGGGAACGAGTTTGATGCTAATGAGGGAGAACAAAAGATTTTGCTCATTAGTATTAGGCTCGTCTCGTGAAAAGTTCGACGTTCCATAATGGACTTAGGCTTATGAAGGGATATAGCATCAGAAGGTTCCAACTTCTCCGGTCTTTTGTTACCGAAAGAATCTGTGTCGTTTCCGTGACTACTCACGTTACAATAGCCACCGGATTCCTTCCCAGTCGTCGCAATAATGCGCGCGGCACGTAAGCGCGAGGTGTGATGGATAGTGAGGAAATGAGAAAGAAAGACCTCGCCTCTTGCGCAGGCTTCCCATCAGCCCTTGCTCCCCCACCTTGGGCCCCGTGCGGGCGAATGAAACAAATTCTATGAAATAGAAAACCTAAACTGCCAACAGTCGACAAAAAAAAAATTTCACTCGTAGAAAAGTACAATTTCTAGCTGCAGACAAATTTGCCAGGATTATCGACGACAATGTTTTTTTCATGAAACTTTGTGAGTTTTGCTGGTTTTCGTTGATTTCTAGGCCTGGGTTTGTCTCCTTAGCGGACGTCAGCTCCTCTCCTAAAATTATAATAATTCAATTCAATCGTCTTTCAGGACTTCCATGGCACACTCATACAAGTAACCAGAAGTCATCATAGCTGAATATTATTATAAACAATTATTGAATGAAGTTTTTATGATATCCGGAATAAGGTCGAGGTAAGTGTTATCCACCGAGCCGAGGGCAGAGGCTGATAACACTTATTTTTACTTACCGAGACCTTATTCCGGACATCAAAAAAACCGAATCTAATAATTGTTTTATTATGCATTGTTTTGAAGAAAATAACGACAAACACACTACGGTATAGAACGCAGTTTGACATTGCTCTTAAAAATCATGCACTGCGCACGCAACCTACAGATTAGCCTCAACTGAATCTGCTAGCAGATAATTGACTAATCTGTTGGTTGCGCTGATATCCAAAATTAACTGTAGGCTCTTAGCCAATGAGAAGACGGATAGCGAGTACAATGTGTAATAACCTGGATAATCTACGATTGCTGTAGGTATGATGTGACATAACCACTGTCTACTGTACTCCCCCGCATCCCAAGTTATCAATATTAAGCCGCCATGTGATCGCAGCTCAAGTATAAAGAAAGAGATATTACTCTCAATCTTGTCGAGTTTCCGGACAGCCTTGTTCACAGCCGTTCAGAAACGTATATAGAAGAACTACAGACCTGGTGAAACATCCACGCAACTAATCTTCTGCTCGTGTCCTGTGAGGGTTTTAAGTGGCGCCCATCCTGGATGGGACCACACCTGAAGATAAAACAGTCTCTATCAGTTAACCCTCGGAATAAAATTAAGGAGAGAAACATTGTGCTATATCATGTAAATGAGGAGGCACCAGAATATCGCTCACCCTCCGAAATCTTCATAATGCTCCATATCAAACGCAAGCCGAATCCACCAAGTGTTTCATTATTCAATCAATTCATTTATTCATTTCCAACTTCAAAAAAATGCTTACCTCGATCAAGATCAAGGTAAAGTCCCTGTACTCATGACTTGGCAAATTCATGACATAATATAAAGGGATTTTTAGTCTAGCAGGGCCCAGTTGTTCGAAGGCCGGTTGGCGCTTAACCCGGGGTTAAATTTAACCTGGGTTTCTTTTTCTTGTGTTCTGAGGCATTTTCGATGATAATTTTCTCTGTCATTTTTAAAGCTTCCAATCATCATCTTGCAGACAAAAAGAATTAAAACTGAAATGCTTTTTAAGCTTTCAAATCTGAATTAAAATCTCGCACTAACCCTGTTAACCCAGCTTTGAACAACTCAGCCCAGATGTTCTTCAAATGACAGTCGCAATCCGTCAGGTATTATATTTGGTGTTCTTGCTAAAATTTTAGGTAGCAGTTTGGTTATGAACCTAGTATATGGCCTCGCTCTACATGAGTTCTCCGTAGCTCAGGTGAATAGAGCACCCACCCGGTGTTTGGGAGATCATAGGTTCGAATCCTGTCGGGGAGTCAGATTTTTTTTTCTTTGTCCCACGCTCGTGACGTGCTAATCATTTCATTTTCACAGTTTGTTTCTTCTTTTCTATTAAAACAGCTGAGCTACCAGTACAATAGAACATTTTCAATATATTAAAATTCATACTTGGCTTCGATGCTTGGGGGAATAAAACAAAAGAAATGTATTATTCATTGCTGAGCCTCAAGATGATTTCTTTTGTTTTATTCTCCCAAGCCTTGGTGCCAAGTCCGGAAACGCACTATCTTTCAGTTGGATTGTCCCGCAATTATCTGCAACACTAAGGAGCGCGTGATGATCCTTGATTTTATACCAACAAGACGTGAACAAGTAATCAAATACATAGTAACAACCCTCGACTTCTACCTGCGCACAAAGCGATCAAGTTTTTTTTAATCGCATTTCGCCACTAGCTAGCAATCTATCATAAAACAAACACCTTTCCACGCTCTGCATTCGACTTTTCAGTTAGCAAATTGCTACTAAGGATCTGTAACGCGAGACCAAAGCGAAGAAACAATTACTATGACAATTAATATAACAAACTGCGCTGTGAATGCAGCGGGCTGCCTATCAATGTTCACCTTAATGGTTGTGTCATAGGACGCCGATATCAAGTAATCATCTGTTAAAAGAAACAAAAAAACTCAATTTCAGATCGTTGCGTCTAAAACTTTACGGCACTGTTCTGAGTTCTACCCTAAGGAGACTCATACATAAAAATGACGGTGATACTCGTCGGAAAATTAGAATTAATCCCTTGAAGGAGAGTTACCGAGGTTAACCAATAAAGGGTCTGAGCGGTTTATAAGTTTGAGTCGAGAAAATTGAGTCGCTTCAATAACGGCATGGTTGTCTGAACCGGCGGGTCACAAGCCCTTTAGATTCTAACCGACGGCCCTTTCCCAATGTCAGAAATGGCCGTCTGGGCCATGGTCGGACCAGCCATTTTGACAAAGAAATAAGCTTTTTCCAAGAGTTTTTGCTGAAAACTATCTCTTTCGTACAAACTATTTAGGATTTGACTGATCTGGCTGGATAGTTTTGATTAAAAGTGAAATTCTCAATACGACGGGAATGGTCTGGCCGCTCAGTTCTGACAAATGGAAAGCGCCCTAAGAGAAGGACGACTAGGCGGACGAGATTTTCTCAACACTAAGTAGTGCGCGCGCATGAACCAGCGTCATTTTGGCGGGAAAACGTGATAACCGTCGTCATTCTATTACGAGTTTTAGCGAGAATGTCACAGTGACAGAAACAAGTTTTCAAATGTTACATTTCAATCATTTAGCGATCAGGAGAGGGATTAACCTCGTTGTATAAGAATAATCGTAGAAACTTTTCTGGTGAGAAAAATTAAATGAAGCTTTCCGGGGAGAATGTTTTGAGATTAGGTAAAAAAGAAATACGTACTTCATTCAAATTTCGTCCTCGTATAGTCGTCCTCGTCCTTCAATCTGAAGGTGATGTTACACAGGACGATTCGCAACGACGATTTTTAGCGCAACACAGCGTTGCAACATTGTTGCGACGTTGTTTCGAATTCTTACAACATTGTTCTAACATTGCAACGCTGTGTTACCCGTAAAATCGTCGTTGAGAATCGTCCCGTGTAACATCACTTTAAAGGTCTCTAATGTGTATAGCAAGGGAAAATCAGTAGAGGATTCAGGCAAAATACCAGCCCAACCCTCCCCGAAGCAACATTTTGCCCTAGGCAAGCAGTTAGTGATGACGTTGAGTTTGTGGAGGAGTAGAAACTTACACTGATAGGAAAATACTCCCTTTAGAACAATTCGCTACCATTTTCAATAAACGTTTACCGTAAAACTTGACATGTGATATAAGGTTTGTGTGTGCTGGTACGGTATATACGCTCTGTCTCTTTCTCAAATCCCATATCATGATCTTTTGATCCTCGCTGCCCGTAGCAATACGATATCTGAAACGAGGATTTACTCATATTAAACCTATGGGTAACGTTCCTGGACCCATCTTGAATGCTTGTCCCCTGATTCACACTTTAAGGGTCTTTAAGTGAAGTTGCAAAATGTTTGGAAGGTCGTGCGTAAACGTAGAAGTTGAACCTCGCTAAGCTTACGTTTACAAGCGGCCTTTCATACATCGCCTTTTTTATCGCACGTAAATTTTACCGGCGTATGCACGTAAAAATTACGCTACAGTGGAAATCCACTTTAACATGAAGGCACGAGCCTACCACTTCACGCTATTCGTAATAAAGCTTAGGTCTAACGTAGCCGAAATGATAGGAAAAGGACAAAACCCGTTCGTTTTCGTCAACAAACGGATTACTCTTCAGTTCGCTTCCATAAACGGCAAACGACGTCAAACGAGTTCAAAAGTCGACAACCTGCTGTACTACCGAAAACACAGAAGGGTTCTGACACCCTAAATTTTACAAATCTTGCTAACAGGGGTACGAAAAATTTGGTAAAAACTTCGGAAAATTACTGGATGATATAAACATTTCTTCACAATATGTGACAGTTGAGTGTTACTCTCTATGCATACAACGTTGTACTAGGGAACCGGGGGGAGCACTCCCATATATAAGCCATATAGGTATGTACCGCCCCAGTGGGTTGGGTTTTTGCACCGTTTCATTCTGAAAACGGGGATAGACGTGGCCCATTTTGGTCTGGAATTGGGTAGCGTTTTCGAGGGAACTATGGGAACGTATGAACGTGTTTGTAAATAGCAATGTGCGAATTCGAATTGGATTTTAAGAAAGCTTTTTGTTGGCGTTCTAATCTAAGTATTGATGACATAATTTCTTAGAGGCCAGGTCTGAAAAGGGGTATGGACCTCTGTGGACACTACTTAAAACGTGTGTAAAAAATGAAATTTGTTGGTCTGAAATAAGGTCATGCAGGATTTGGAGAACGGGGCGGCACACTCCCACCAAGAAACCAAGGAGTAAACCTCCGAGGCTAGGGAATGACAAAGGTGTAACTTGACTCACCCATCACGAGCAAAATCTATTCCAAGAACCTTCTTCAAGTGTCCATCAAGGGACATAACACACTGACCCGTTCTGAGGTCCCACACAAGTCCTCTACCGTCAAGACCACTACAATGAGCAAAAGATCTGTAGTTACTTCTTGTATCACAACTAAATGTAACAAAAACCCTAAATGTAATACTAACCGCAAATGGAATAAACTTTAACGCTAAATATAACAACACCGTAATAATTGAGAAACAGTATGAATGCTCTTCAAATGTTTTTCTCTGACACCATTTTCTCTTTCCTAGATTCCAAATTCTAGTCTTAATATAATCTATATTTTTGGTTGGTATATTACATTCAGGGTTGTTATTACATCAAGCGGTATTACGGTGCTCAGGATTTGGAGGGAAAAAAACTAAATGAAGGTAATAGGACTGAGTTGAGTAATTATGCGTTTCTGGGAAACTGCCCACCAGCCCCTCCCCTAAGCCAACATTAACACTCACTTCTCACTTAAGGCAAAATGTTGGCTTAGGGGAGGGGTAGGTGGGCAGTTTCCTAGAAACGCATGATAAACAGTAACTTTGTAATTTTCTAAAATTGAACTATTGAAAGTCCAGCCTTTAATCTTGTGGGATTTCAGGCTAGGTACTCGGGGCACCGGACATACCCGGAACGGTTCAATATTTTCCCTCTGTTCACACGGAACTGACGGGTTGAATTTTTAAAAACTTTTTCTTTGGCTTTACCATCTTCCCATGAGCAAAGCGCTACTTTAGAAATTCCAAAACGGCGTCTCCCAGCTGAGTTAACGGATAAATCACTATTCAGTGGAAACGTATTAGGGAAACCAATTGCACTATCCCTTGGATAGAGATTTATCCCCTGGATAGCGCTATCCATTGTTTGAAAAACTGGGGCCAGGCGTGCCCCTCCTCCCTTCTCCCTTGCGCGCGATCTAGCGCCCAAATTCCCTTCCCCTTCCCTTTCGAACGCCTGCCACGCAAGCTAACGTAACGGCTAAAACTTTGACCTCGATTTTAGCGTTCAAATTTTTGAACGCTTAGGCGTCTAAATTTTGTGCCATTAAGGTTGTTTCGTGTAAATGAAACACGTAAACGCATGAATTTAGTTTTAAGATTCTCATAACGGTCCTACCATTATCAGTACAAGAACTGACTGGGGTACACTGTGAATTAGAGTTTTTCTCCTTTATGTTGTGGATACGTTGTTATTAGAGACCTTTAGATTCATAAGACGAGGAGAACTACGAGGACGGGATTTTCTCAATACTAAATAGTGCGTACGCGTGAACCAGCGTCATTTTGGCGGGAAAACGAGGCAGCCGTCGTCACTCTTCTACGAGTTCTAGCGAGTGGCCGCAGTGGCCGTCGTAGTTGCGGAAACAACGTTAAACGTTTTCTCATTTTGCAAACGGGAGAGGGCTTAGCCTCGTTCAATAAAGATAACGGTCTTTATGGGTGAAAAAAAGCACAATAAAGCTTTCCGGGGTCTCTACTTTTGAGAATACACGAAAAAAACTTTAAAGTGAAATCTCGTACTCGTAGTCGTTCTCGTCCTCCAGTCTGAAGGTCTCTGTTGTTTTTCTGTTGTTACCATGTTGCTGCAAGTGAGCCATCAATCTGAAATGCGATATTATACACCTCTCTTGAATGACCCTCCTATAAACAACACAAACAAAGAAGTATACACCACCTTCCTACGGTACTGCCAATGTACAGTACCGAAATTTTCAAAACTGTCATGAAATATTTCCTTAAGCATTACGGGCCTCAAATCTCCTTTTCATTCATAACAGGCAACTTGAGCGCTTAAATGAGTAAGGGAAAGATTTAACGACAGTTCAAAAATTTTAGAATTTACAAGGACTTGTGTGGAAAACCATGCAATCGTGACTGGGTGGCAAAAGTTGTTTTTCTCATACAAATGCGTCTAACTTTCGGCGGCCGTTGAAATCTTTACCTTTCAGATATACGGCTAAAAATTCTCAGGTTACCTACTTTTAATATGTTCTTTCAGCTTGTGCTAACAAAATATTTCCAAAGTGAACTGTTTTCGTGTTTACCGAAAGTTGATCACGCGATCAAGTCATGCAAAGAGCCTATTGCTTGTTACTTTGGGCGAACAAACCTGGTCTACAAATCGGCTTAACGTTTTGAATAAGTCTCGCCGCATTAGCGCAATGTTTTCTGCGTTAATTGAAAAAGAGATGAGTAAAAGTATTTTACCTGATGTAGAACTTCTTTGAGCTGTTCTAAATCCCAAAGTCTCCAAGAGTAGTCAAAACTGCCGGCAAAAACAAACTTCATCAGAGAACAAAATGACAATTTCACTTGGGCCCAGACATCAAATTCACGAAAAATTCAGGCGAAGGCCCGGGTGGTCACACCACATGATCTAACAAAGGCGATGACATAGCCTGTGTAGCCCGCGTAGCAAGCGTTCCCGCTCCTTCTATTTTTTTGCTTTCGTTCCAGCTTTCGCGCATCAACTCGAGCGAAAACGCTTGCTGCGGAGGATAGTGATGACACCATGTACGCCGGTATAAACCAATTTGATAGAGCGGTTTTCACTTGACTGTCGAAAGGGATTGGTTTTGGTTTTGGTTTTGGTTTTACTGCGCCCTTTGGTTGGCTAGTGTATTTACTTTGGTTTTGGTTTTACGACAGTCAAGTGAAAACCGCTCTATTATCAACCAATCCTGTGAAATAATAAAGTTACTTACCAACAAGAAGCTAGAAATCGTCCAGAAGGGTGATACGCCACACGAGAGACACGTTTTTCGTGTCCTTCTATGTTTGCAAGAGGAGTATCCCTAAAAAATATTATGAAAATAATGTTCAGAAACATTGCCGATATCAGTTACCCAACTCCAAACCAATTCTGTCACTGTTTTTTTCCCTTTAATTTTTTCACTTCGTTAGAGCGATTTTCATACGACCTTGAAATGAAAACGCGCGAACAAAACAGAAACAACAAACGAACGGAAATAGAGAGATTTGATAGGTTTATTGAACGAATACAAATGTGCGTGGCTTTTCGTTGGTTAACCGAACGCTTGTCTGAAAAACCTTCATGCCCAAGAACTTTCTAGAAATCAAAGCATACTACACTTTAACGTCATACTGCAACACGACTGGCCAATCGAACAATGCCTTCTCCATATTAGGGTTTTCTTTGGCGGGAAAACGAAGAGTCCATGTTTTGGTCTTTTCATCCATCGGCTGATAAAATAAATAACGAGCAGTAACCGAAACCATTTTTCAGATAATACGAAAATCGCTCTATCCTGAAGGTGACACGCGAAGGAAACAGAGAAAATAAGCGACTTAAGATGAAGGGCCCGGTTTATAAGGAAAAAACGTTGTCCCGGGAAAATGGGTCACCCTCCAAGACACGTCAACTTTAGCGAGCGCTTATATGAGTAAAAATTAGATTCCTTTGCCCAAGCCAGGAGCTGACATAGGCGCTTGCGTACGCTCTGATTGTCTCGCCTTGCCCCAGTTGACCCGACTGGGCGAGCCAAAGGGCCAATTATTTAAACGGAGTTTAGCCCGTGTTTAACAAAACCGCGTTCTAAGCCATTTCAGTTTGCCCAACGCTCTCATCTAAACACCATCGTTCATGAACAATTTGAATAAAGCATATAGCATAGTCTGGAAAAGCACCTACTTTCTTAAATTTCTTAAACCGCGGCCTAAATTAGACTTCATTTAAATAACCGACACAAAGTGTTTATATGGAGAAAAGCTGGTTTGGCTAGGTGGGTGACCCGCTTAGCCGAGCCAACCTTTTTGTTTCTCATTCAAACCGTTCGCCGAGTTTTGTGAGGAAATGTTGGCTCACCCAGGATAGTTCGGTTTGGTGACAGACCCCGCTCCCGGGCCAAGTTTTCTCCGTATAAACGGGACATACGATCAGGCGTTTGGCTTTACAGTGTATGAGTCGCTCTCATACCAGACAACTTCGATTCGCTCCTCCTTAGCGATCTGTCCAAAACGTGCCATTTTCAGGTGCGCTCGGGCACTTCCCTCGCTCTAATACCGCGCGAGAAAATGACGTGTTCTCTTCTCGTACATGTAGCCTGAGTAAATAGAGACCTTAAGATACCCCGATATCCGACATTTCATGCGTGACGCCACAAACCGGTTTCCATGCATGTCGAAATGACGTCCCTCAAATTCTAAACGCGCGCAACAAATTTCATTCATACATGATTGAAATATCATGTTTTAAGAAACTTGGCGGGAAGTCCCGACCGATCTTGTTATCGGGATCGAGTCCTCACCAAACAATTCCTTTGATTGGATGAATGCTGAATTTTTCAATGCTATTTCTTTTGCGAAACTCAAACGTTCGGCAATTCTCAAAATCCCCCAAATACCGCCAAAATTGATATCGTTTCAACCCCTATTTGGGTCCAAAATGATGCGTCACTGGGGCAAAAATATTTGAACAGACGTCATGAGTATGGAAAAAGTTTAAAAACTCCGTTTCTTCATGTAGTTCTTCTACGAGTAAACTGGTTTGGGGCGGTTCTACCGGGTAAGGTCGATGACGTCACCACAAAATGAAAAAAACATGGCGCTACCCGTTACTCGTACACCGATTTCGGGGTATCTTAAGGTCTCTAATAGCCGACATTTTGTGACGCCACTACCGGTTTCCCTGCGAAATGACGTCAGAGAAACGCGCGCAGAAATTTCATACTGATGACGTGTCACCACCCAGATCTTTAGTCCTCCTCCTCTCGTTTCAAATCGCCAACCCTTCTGGGTAGTGATGCGTCATGGCTGCTCGGAAAGCAACCGCGCCCCTCGTTCCCGCGTTCCTTCCGTTTCAAGCGCCTTTCACGCAGGCTGCTCAGCAACCTCGTTCCCATGTTTTCTATCCTACCCCCCCCCCCCCACCCTCTCTCTTTCGCTCCGTAGGGACTGGTAGGGGAGAACCCTGGGAACGAGGTTGGTTTCGAGGGGAAACCAGAGGTGTCGCAAAATGTTGGCTGTTTTCTCAGAGTACTCTTAACGCAGTACCAGCTATTTCAACACCAGGGATGGATTCTTCCACATAAAACAACAAAAAATGACTCATTGTACAGGAGACTACTTACATGTTGAGAGACCAGAGAAGAACTACTCCATCGGCATCACAGGACGCCATACATGGACCAGTTTCATCTAATGACAAAGTTGCTTGGGGGTGAAACACTATTGATCCAACACGTTCATTATGACCTGTAACCATTGGAACAAAAGATCCAGATCTCAACCTGACATGTACGTTATTTCTTTTTGTACAATCTCAGTGACTTTGTTACCTCTGCTTCCTGCGTCCCTGGCGCATAAAAAATCCCCTAAGATGCAACATAATTTGTGGCATGCCTCCCATAGGACGCAAAGATCGATCTGAAGATGTTTTTGGTAGAATATTTGTGTAATTTCTGTGGCTCTTCAAGGCTGTGCTCTAAGGAAAATTGAAGGGAGCCCAGTGCCCTGAAACTGTAAAATCTAGGGTGCCCAGCATATGATTTGTATGAAAAAGCTACAATTTTCTAGTCGCCCGAGAGCAAAAATTAGGCACCAGGGCCACCGGGCTCTGCTAGAGCACAGCCCTGCTGTTCTTGTGGCTGTTGTTAAACGATGTTTATTTCTTTTAGTCTTTGTTGTGCTTTACAATAGAAGGGGTATAATTTTATTTCAGTAAACTGTAATACAGAGTTTTGGAGTCTGTCTTCAGATTAACTGTGTGGTTACAAAAGAGCCAGGGACTCATTGTCTTTTTCATTGTTCATGATTTTTCACAAGATGAGTCCCAGGACTCACCATAACTATTTGTAACAAAATCACTGCAATCTTAACAAATAAATACCACTATGCAAACTTTCCACTGAAGAGGTTTCATTAGAATGGTAACACCATAGGAAGTCTCCCAGAGACTAAAAAACTACAAAAAAAATTAAAATTATCTCTCCATAAATAAATTAGTCTGAGAGCAAAAGGGTTAAAATTAATTGTTAAATCAAACAATTCTGAGATCCAAAACAAAATTAAGGTCCATACTTTTCTGCATGGTGTGTTTACCTCGAAGAACTGCTATTGGTTCACAATCTGGAATTGACCAAAGTTTACATAAGCCACTCCTAAAACAAAAAATGGCAAATAATAATACAAAGCTGCAGATGCCAGACCATTACCCTTGGTCTTAAAATAATTTATCTAAATAGCAGGGTACAATGTTAGCCACGTAAATGGCTGGACCTCCATTGGGCTTGCTATTGAAGGACCATGAAGAAAAGAATTCCATTTCTGCTAGCGGACGTCTTCAGTTTCTTGCTTTGAGCTAAATACATCTGACACTGAAATTACTTTTGTGCATGTGATTACAACACATTACACTAGCTGAACCAATATTTTGCAATAGAATCACGAAACATGTTCATCAGACATGGTACAAGACAATATAACAGGGACACAAAGTAAGCCTACCAGGATGCAGTAGCTAGTATTTTTGAATCTGGAGAAAACTGACAAAAGGACAGTGGTCTGTCATCACCAATCTGACTGCAGAAATTGTTTAGACCCTGAAAAGATGAGGAAAAAAATTTTTTGAGGTCTACCAGCTAAAAATGTCAGTCACAGAAATCCAATGGTCATTTAAAAGAAGATTGTCGTTACACTCTGACCCCAATTAAGGCCAGAAACAAAACAACTAGAACTATAACAAGTATGAAGAAACCAGTTTAAAGAATTTCCTTGCTGAACATTAAGCTTTCTACCACCTTCGGTGTGGTAATACCAACACCTCTGTACTGCAGACTGCTGGGTCTGTCCCTCTAAAAGTCATATTAAGGAAGTTAAAGTGTCTACATGTGGTGTAAAAAACCAAGTGATGCATGCACTGTATCTGTATCTGATCTTTTCTTCACATTCCACACAACAGAGCTACACAAAAAATATGAAACAAACCCTTAGTTTGCGATGTAACTCTTGCATCTTTGCAGCTTTCTCAGGATCAGGTCTGGCTTGCTGGATGCGCATTTGTTTTAATCTTTCACATGCTCTAGAAATAGTGAGGTCCATGTTAATGAACACATCTTATGAACAAAATACAACAAAATCTTGCCAGTGTGACAATGTCTACTAGTCGCCATAACCAACGTAATGACTACCTGATGAACTTAATAACCGAGTGACAAAATGAATAGCTAAATTACTTACTGACTGACTACAAGTAGCTCCGTAGCTGAAAAAATCACAACTACACCAAAACATATCATAAAAGACATAACTACAGCTGTAACTGACAGAGTGACCAACTGATGAATGAAGTGGACATTTTAAGCAGCTCACTAATATGCTGAATGAGAGTTTAAATAATCACCATAATGATGAACTGACCAACTGATTGAGCTGCTGAACCCTTGATTCATTCATTCATTCATAGATTAGTTACCTGGTCCTTGCCCATTGAACAGGTGAGCAGGATTAATATTACTTGCCCAACAGGAACATCAACAAGTCCCAGACTACCGAACAGGACTTTTCGAGATTTGCTCTGGACAAGCTGTCATCAAATTTGCTTGTCCAAGGCAGTTGCAGGCTTGCCCAAGTTTACCTTAAGTTACAATAAAGGATTTTCCTGGGACAATGCTCATTGGGTAAATGAGAATAAAACGTTACATATACTTTCCTGCAAAGAGAATCTATTTGCCCCAGATTGCTAGATGGGACTTTTCTTAAGCCCTGTCAAGAATTTGATATCATCTACAGTCTCAGTCGATTACAGCAGGTGAACTGGAGTCCACTAAGAGATTAAGGTGCTAACATTTCAACTGCTAACCCCAAACCACAAAGAAGTTGCTCTGACAAAGGCTTGTGCTCAAAATGTCTGCTCTTACAACTGTAAATCTCTTTAATGGTGGCCATTCTACCTTATCCGTCTTATCTAAGCCAAATTTTGCAGGGTCCACTGATGCTGGTTTATCAGTTTTATTATAATACATAAACTTTTAATTTATGAACTTCACACCTAGGTAGAGAGTATTTAGCAATCCAAAGGCGGGCTACTTTCAGCTCCGGAGAACCCTCATGATACCAGACTTCCTCTTCTAATTCCTGAAGTAATAAAAGGTTGAGAGCAGAAATAAATTTTTATTGATGCCAGAGAGTTTAATAACTTTATAAACTGTACGTTATAAATAAAACAATGAAACAAGACATCAAAGAACATCAAATTGCATCTTGGCCCAACTGGAAAAAGAAGACTATCTCTTTCCTACCCGAAACATCCTAAACTTTGAATGCACAAATTCACTGTCATCTCAGGTTATGTATCTGAGACATGGACCGCTAACAATGAACACAACAACAATGAGTGGCTCCATAGTCTTTAAATAAAAAAATTGTTTTGTCTCAATATTTTTCCCTCAAAGTTTTAATAGTTTTGGTTTGTTTGACATATAAAAAAACTTCTGTTTTGATACATGTAAACATGTATGACAGGAAAATGGTTTAACTCGCTTCAAAGAGAATTTTTTACAGGGAGTTAGGGGAGGAGTGTAAGGTCCAGAAGTCATATGATAAAGTGGAATAAGAAGATAATATGATTTAATGGAGTAAAGATCTACAAAGGACATACTGGTTCCTGTTTCTCTTTTTCGTCCTCTTCCTTTTTGGGAACATCTTCACCTTTAAACCAGACAACAATATAACATCAAATCAGTGATACACAGTCTTATACTGATTAGAAATACAGTCCAACCTCTACTAACTACTACCTCTCCACAATGGCCACTTTCTTTTGAAGACAGTCCATACAATGATTCTTGTTTAAACCTCTCTGGCCATTGTGGAAAGGTTTAACTGTATTCTTTTGATTTGCAATACTTAGCATTTTCTGGATATATATCCCAAATGTTTTCCAAATTTGGTCAACGGTAGCTGGTTGTGAAGAATAGGCCATTTCCGAGTTCCCCCGAGCCTCTGTATCAAAACAAGGTTAAGGGCTCAGCCTTTGATATGGAAATGATTTTTCATTCTCAGGCAAATAAAACTCATTTTCACAAGAAAGTTTGTGCACTTGGCCTCATTGTGAAAGTGAGGGTTTTTGGAACTCAAAAGTGGCCTATTAGTCATGGGATTTGAGCCAATCAGAGAAGGGGAAATATTTTGACTGAATATCAAAAAATCTTTGTTACATAGACAAACTACTGCTAATTAACCTAAATCTATACATGTAACAAATATCACTTACCTAATTCTGACAATAATTTTCTCAATCTGTCTCTTCTTTCTGGTGGACCTTCCCCAAACAAAGCTGTGACAAAGATTGACATTTTTTAACCAAAAACAACAGTAAAGTATTTAAAGTAATTTAGATATCTTACACCAAAAATGACCCTATTTAATGCAATTCTCATTTTTGTTTTAAAGTAAATAACTTACTAATTGGTTCTCCGAGTTCCCGCAGTCTCGCCTTCACTGATGCATCACCTGTCGGTACAGTGATTGCTCGAGCCTATTGACAATATTTTAAAAATAAGTGTCATTTTAGTGCTTCACATTGTTCATATAAGCTGAGAATTTGCTGTTGCAAGTGATAAACATATTCACATATTACACAAACCCTATCCCTTTGAAAGCTACAGCTGTTTGGCACTTAGATGTCCATGTACATGTAACATGCTTGCTGTAAATTATGAGAGCTCAGTGCTCTCAAGAAACTTGGAGGTATTAGTCATGAGGACCTCCAAGAAGGGGGTATGGTTTTGCTTTGTCAGTCATTTCTGAGACTGCCTGTCCCCTGGTAGCTTGGGAAAGGATGTCCCAGATGCATTTTAGCTAAGACGAAAATGTTGCTGTCAGTTTGGCATAAATTTTCATGATATTAAATTTGGAATTTACAGTTATATGGCAGACATGGCTCCTGAAAGAATTGTAAAAAACCTTCCTCCCTCCAGGGACCATTCTTGAACAATACCTTATTAGGAAATGTGATGAGAGTTGCAGAAACAGCCAACATCCAAAAGTTAACAGATGTTGTTTTAACTACTTAAAAAATGGATTGTCGCTGTTACAATTCTCTCCTCCTTCTGCTGATGCTTTGTTTTTTGTGAGTGCAGTGTTGCCAGATTTCGGAGCCATGTCCCATGTCGCTTCTACCCTTGCAAGGCCTAAATTATAGCTGCATCTAGGTGCCTAACCCTTTATATTGACAGCCCTGCTAGCAAGTGATCAGAAAACTCAGCATGCACTAAATTTTCAAATAAAACAAGTACAAGTATTACATACAGTAGCTGTAAACCTACAGTGTACTACCTTTTTCCTTCTCTCAAATTCTGCTAAAAGTTCCTGATGTCTTTCACTGGTTTGGTCTTCAGATAACTCTAGGTATTCTCCTAATATGACATTTACAATAATACTACTTAATTCATTACTTCATTAAAGCACCCTCAAACATTAAGGGTGTGCTGAATTCAAGTTGGAATTTTTTTGTAGGACAACCATTCATAGTAAAAATTGTTTCTTGGGTCAAATGAATATTCTGGATCAGGAATCAGGGTATATTTTTCCCCACTCGAAGAGAAATTTCATATCTCTGCACAGCCATGTAATATCCTCTAATTTTTCAGTAGTTGCTCCAAAGAGTGGTAGGTAAGATTTCTAAACAGCCCTATACATTTACTATGCATGTGCACAGCAACCTCATATTAAAAAGTTGCAGATGAAACAATGAATACGAGTCTCGACACAGGCAGACCACTCTGTGTTAGTGGGGCCATTGTTGATTGAAATCTGAGCATTGATCTTTTGTTACAACGCGTAAATTCTCGACCAAAGGCACTTGAGGTATGCACATCGATCCAAATCCACTAATCAGCGTATCATGACCGTTGTCAGTTCAGAACCCCAACCCTGCCCTGCACAGGTTTTTATGCTGACTGGTGGAATTGGATCAAGGCGCATACCTTAAATGCCTAATAAATGCCTTATTATGCTTAATAATTATTCCAAAATTTTGCACCGATCATGTTGAGAAAGCTGGTCTTGCAACTTCAGGATTGCTTTTCTCAAGAAATTTTGGAAGGATTGAGCTCTCACTCAATGCAGGCATAGAGACATATCCAGTGGATCAGCAGCCGGTATTTTTGAGGTAAGAATTTAAATAGTTTGGCATCAGTTCCAGCTTAAAGTAGACTAGGTCATGCGGCGGCAGCTGATTGCAGCCTGCCTTGTGTTCTTCTTTAGTTCCAGCCACCGAGGTCAAATATTCATCTTCCAAAATAATGCTTAAAACACCACGGGATGGAAAAAAAAAATGTGACACATGAGTCAGTTAACATTTTCTTCAAGCTTCTATTGAAACATTTGCATTAAAATCTGCATTTTGGAACAAATTACAGCCACTGTAATGTTGATCTGTATTTCTTTAATACATAACAAAAGATCGATGCTCAGATTTCAAACAATAACGGCCGCACCAACAGAGGGTGGTCTGCCTGTGGTCTGGACACGTATGCATGATTGTATGGGGTTTTATGGAAATTTTTCCATCGAAACTTTCAGCTTACCACTACTGATATTTATATTTCCCGCTCTTATTCCAGCAAGAACCGCCGCCGACACTCCATTTTCTTCCTCTTCTTGCTCATCGTCATTCTCATTCTCTTCCTTAATTTCTTTGGACGAGGGTCCAGCAGCCGCCAGGCGTTCCCTCTCGACAGCTTCAAGGCTTCCAAAGTGGATTCTTTGTTTTTTAACCACAGGAGCGGCATCTTCATCGTCAGACATTATGATATATCATAAAATTATTTTCATACTTGACAGAACGAGCACGAGGCTGCACTGGGAAATCGCTTGGTTTAAGCTTTCTTATAGTGTCCTTTCATATTCAAAACAGCCTTTCATGTAATGATGAGCATCAAGTACTATCAACGTCAAACTTGTCAAATTGCCTTTCTATTTACATCCAAGCGACAAAGAGAGTTCTAATAAATGAAAGGACTAGTGCCACCAAAGGATCGTATAAGTATCTTCAATAACCTGATTGCTGACATTACTTTTTGGCTTTCATGAAGTACTTGAAAGCTGACTAACCTTGGTAACCGTGCTATTGGCGATTTTAACTTGGTATCCAAGCCTTGTTAATGTTGTTTACACGATGCTTCTGCTGACTAATCAAGTAAGAGGTGTAAGGAAGTGATCGTGTAGAAAGCACAGGTTATGTTGGGAAATGTCCCAAAATCTGTGGTTCTCTTGAAGACAACATAAGCAAATGTCGGTCCTCCGACTTGGCCGTTCCTTGTTCCGCTCGCTTTTAAAGCGACTTCCGGATTTAAAAGGTAGGTTTTTATACTATCTTTTACAACCAAGCTTATTTGCTTCAAGTGTGTTGTTTTGTAGAATACGTCATAATCTTGTGAGACAGCACATTTGCGACGTAAGTAGTGTTTCCACCTACAATAAAAGAGTGTCTCTCAACAAATTGAATTTGCAGTTTGTGCAGTGTTTCAATGCAGATCAAACGCTACTCCTCCCGTTCAATTTGAGTTCCAATGTAGATCGTCCAGTCTTTATACGCTATCTTAACAGAAAAAAAGACTAGCTAGTATTGAATTACATTTAAATTGCTAGCTAACCGATAGACTAGTTCAGGTACATTGTATCAAAACACCGCATGCAATATTATCACATAATATACCTGTCAACTTTTCCAAAGGCAAATACATGTGATTTTACGTATTTTTATTACCTAAAGTTCCGAAAAACTCCAACCACCTCGAGGGCTGTCAACCCCCCACGAATTCAAATATTGAGAATTGATGGGGAAGGGACGGTAAATGACATCATAACATAAGGCACGATGCATCATTTGTGCATAAAATACTCTCTGATCATCATGAATGTTAAAAAAGGAAAATAGCTCAAACGATACAAAATAGTTGAAATTTTATAGTCAGAAAGTCGAGTCTACTGAAGAAATGGCAAACTTCAGCGATTATCCAGGAGATTTCATTTTCAAATCTGGAGACCGGGAGATACCCTCCAAAATCTGGGATCTCCTGGATTAAGTGGGAGAGTTGACATCACCTCACTTCTGGACTGTGCAGAATGCTTGCTGACAACATTACTGAAGATTCCTGAAGATGTGTTAATGATTTCCAAAGATTGCCACACGTAGGGGTGCAAATCTTGGCATCATCTTGCTGAGATTAAGCGCTTTTGCCAAGGTTGTACATGTTACAGGTCAAATTTGATTTCAGGTTAAATTTTTTTAACCTAGGTTGATTCTTTATTTCCTTTGCCTCCTAGCCCTAATTATTCATGAATTAGGGTTAGGAAACAAAGAAAATCGAGAATCAACCGAGGTTAAATCAAAATTAACCCAAAATCAAATTTGACCTGTAATATACATTTCTTGGCGAGATACAATGTAACCTATTTACTCGTTTTTCACTGGTTACTGAACAAGTTGTCTTGAATTGTCAGTTGTGCATGCAAAATTGTCTTGTATGCATGTGATCGACGTTTTTGATCTTCAGGCATATGACACGTAACAATGCAAGTTGGCAGGTATAATATTTGTGGTACCCGATTTTCTGGTGGGAGTTGAGGTTTGTACTGGGGACTTTTTTAGCCTGGAAGGCTCTTTCGCACACCCAATGAAAAAGTATTGTATGATTTTCACAATAACGGAGTACACTTAACTGTGTCACTTTGATAAAAAAAACGTACATTATCTAATGATCATGTTGATGTGCCACTATGAGCCTCAGTATGATTGCAAGACTTGCTGTTAGAGGTAATTAAGAACAAAAGCACTTTTGTCCACTCGGAACTGAGCTCTATTGTGGTGCAAAAAAATTGTAATTGGATTGGCCACCAACATAGCCACTTGCAAACCAAACCAAGAATGCTACCAAATACATACTTTAACCTGCAAGATTGTCCATTTCTTCTTAATATTATTGCTCAAGTTAAACAATTTAATGGAACTGAACTTATTTCTAAGCATCAGGCAGAGCTCCTGTGAAGCCAGGCCTTGGCAATTATGGTGAAGTTCGAGAAAGTAGTAGCACTGCAGGTGTTCTCAGCACCCAGCCATTGCTGAATAATGCCACTGTACTTTCAAGGCATGTGTGGAATGGGCTTACTTCTAGAGCAGGATTCCTGGCAAATACACAGGCAGCTCAGTTACGACGTAAGTGTTTTCGTTACTCTTAAGGAGATTCCTCTAAAATGGAACCTGCCATGAGATTTTGTCAAACTTTGCCAATTGGTTGTTTATGTTGTAGAAACTTAAATTTTAAAATAAAATCTGGGTGTCCCCATACTCATTTTGGAGCAGGAGCAACTTGTTTATACACACTGACTCCTTATAATACCAATAAGATTATACTTACAAGTACATGCTTTGATCACATTTCTGACTATTACTCATTTCATTTTGTGCAGTGGGAATTAGTCTATTTTTTCCAGAGATAGAAGTCGTTACTGCTCAAATAAATGATGTCACCACACTTGTTTAAGAGAAATGGAAGATTTACCCCTCTGAAGAGCTCCATCTTTAAGGCAAAAGCTGGCATGTTTCATTGTGTACATGCTAATCATAAATCAAATTGTGCACAAGAACAATGTGCAACGCAATAATAAAGAAAATATAACTTTCCTATACACATCTTTTATTTGCTAAACTATACCCTGCATGTACATGTACTTGTTGTAGAATAACCTTTACGTTGTTCATGTATACCTCTATGACTTTTGGTATCTACATTGTACGGTCATGTTAATGGTCTTGACAGGGTACCTTTGTAAAGTTTGATACAAAAATGTTTGCCCAAAGTTGAAAAAAGTATTTTTACAAAAATATACAAATATTTATTTTATTGACAGGGATGGCAGCTTCACGACTTCTGAGGGTTTGTGGCCCTAGAGCTCCTATGTTTGCCTTCCTTGGGTTTGCATATGCTGGTAAGATTTTACTCAAGCTCTTTACAATGTCATATTTCACAGCTACGGCTACAGAATTTCACCTAAGTGTCAAGGGAAAAAAATGACTTAACGGTATACCAGATACTCCTTCTTCCATGTTATTGGTCAGTAAGAATCCTCAAAAACTTCAGTAAATATCAAACTGCTGAGCAGGCATAACACACTAAAACCTTGTGTTCTAAAACTAACAAATGGCAAGCACAAGAATCTCAAAGTTCACAGGAACACCACTATTTCCTTTGCGACAACGACTGTTGGAGATACTGTCAAAATAAAAATATGGAAAAGGAAGCTGGAAAGGGTATGAATCTCTTCGACACCCTGGGGTTGAGTTCGAAGTTCTTACAGTCTGTGACTGAAATGTATTTTACTTGCATTGTTATATATAGGTTGCAATGTGAAGCCTCCAAAAGATGTGCATGAAAAAGAGCAGTTTAAAAATCTACGCCAGTGGGTTCAAGAAGCTTTGGGTAGTGCAAATATAGCTGCACAGGTTAGTCTTACTCTGTGGTCACTTCAAATGTTACATGAACCATTGTTACATTCATTAAAAATATTTTCACATAAATTTTGTTCTTGGAAGCTTTTAATAAGTAAACATATGATAGTAGTTCTCAAATCTCCATGTGCAACCACCTTCCATAATAATAAACATTACTGACCAGCTATGAACCTTTTGTAAGTGGCCACAAGGCATCCTGTGGTCTGATTTCTATGTTGTGCTGTTTATTCTTGTTTTATGCCACTCTGAGTAAAAACAGCACTTTGCTACTGAAGGAATGTCACAACTTAGAAAATTAATGCAATAAATTCTCTTCTGAAAATACATGTGTCAAGAACTCTTCTCATTGCTGGATCCACTCCTATACATGACCACCAGCTCTTTGCACTTTGGGCTGGTCGCTGCTGGGAAGTTTGACTGTCGGAGAAAAATTTATAGTTTTGATAGTTTGAATTATTGTAGTGACTGGAGTGCCCATAGTGAAGAGGTCAAGTTTACATGACACATGTAAATATCTGCTGCTACTGGGTTTGGCATGGATGTTATAGATCACGACTAAAGCTGAACAGGTGTATATTGTAGGTATATTTCTAGAACTAAATGAAGTGCCGAGTGCATTTAACCCTTTAAGTCCCAATAGTGCTCAAAATCAATTTTCTCCTAACGATATCCATAGACTATCATGAGCAAAATCTATGAGAATTAACAAAATGATCACAAAGAGAAAAATATTTGATCTTTTACCAAATTCGCTCAACTAATTCTTCAAGGAAATGTATGGAGATGAGTTTGGACAATTTGTATATGGATTTTGGGGCTTAAAGGGTTAATATAGGGAAGTGCCTGCTTTAAGTGTGTTGCTGTATTACATATCTGCATTCAAGAAAGTTCACGGATCATTCTTACTTTTATTCATACCTTTTTCAAAGAATCAAGAAGAAGTTGAACATCCAGCTCTCTCTCAGCTTAAGCTAAAGGACTACGAGCTCGGTGAAAGGCTTGGAGAAGGGTCTTCAAATGGTGCAGTTTATGCAGCTAAATATAATGAACATGACGTAAGTAAATATTTTGTAATGAATTGTTTACATACTTCTATCAAATTCTTCCTCTTGGCCAGCAGTTTTGTAAGCTTCTTGACTGTTCTTAGATGCATATGTTGTAGTTAATTCTTTATTTCAGTTAATTTTTATTTTTCCATTGTTTTTGGATATGGTAGTGTATCCTAATGAATTTTAAACAGAGGAAAAACAAAAATTAAGTGAAATAAAAAAATTAACTGCAATGCATATACATGTACCTATTATGCACACCAGCATATGTTATTAGGGATAAGGAAACAGTGATGATGTCTATTGTGTTGATATGTTATAAAGAGTTACTATTACATGAATTTTATGGGGCTGCATTCTCACAGTAAAATGCATAATTGTAATGTCCCTTAACCCTTTAAGTCCCAATATCCACATACAAATTCTCCAAACTGATCTCCATACATTTCCTTGAAGAATTAGTTGAGCGAATTTGGTAAAATATCAAATATTTTTCTCTTTGTGATCATTTTGTTAATTCTCATAGACTTTGCTCATGATAGTCTATGGATATCATTAAGAGAAAATTGATTTTGAGCACTATTGGGACTTAAAGGGTTAAGGGAAAACAGTGTTACTTAGCTACCGTCAATTTGTATTCACTTAACAGTATGCTGTCAAGATGCTGTTTAACTTTGGGGCAAGTTCCACGAGTAGCTCACTGCACAAGGTGAGTTGTATTGGTTACAGTTAGGCTAAGTACGTCCAAAAACAATTGCCTCTGATGACTCTAAGCCACTACCATGTGCGTGGAAACCCATTAAGGGGCCTCTGCTGGGTACAAAGTAGCTTGCACTCCAGATTAAATTTACAGTAAAGAACTTCTGCGCAGTAGTGCACAACTCCTTGTACTAGACTCAAAACAAAGTAGCAGGCTTTTAGAAGTTACCTGTGGTTGGGCTTTTCACAACAGTATTGTTTATTTGTGTTACATTATGCTCTTACTGGGTAAGAAAATTGCCCAAAAGAGTGACCAGAGAGAAAGTGAAAAGCTGATAACTTAAGAGATTAAATGTTACAGTAGTACACACTTTTGTATGCCAAATTCTCACCAGCACAATACTGGTGAAAGTAGAAGAGAAATAATAGGTACCGGTAATAGAGAGATTTAAAGTCACATTTACATGTACGGCAAACAGCAAAATGATAGATTCAAGTTGAGAAATTCTAGAAATAGAAAACGAGCTGATAAAAACAGCTCAAAATAATTCTTATGGATGATAATGGTCTTAAACTACTAATTTCTGTGTACTAGAGGTAATGAAGAGCTAACAGCAAGCAAAAACGGAAAACTTGGTCACATGTTTGCTGAAAATATGACTCTATAATTCTCTCCATTGTCTCCCAGTGGCAAAACACTTAATACTTACAAGGAATGTTTAAATTCAGCAAAATAAGGTTATTAATAATTTACAATATTGGAAAGGGTTGCCCCTCTTACACTTGCCTCGCCAGTTAAGGTTGGGTTGGGAGGAGGAGTAGTTCGTTGTTCTGCAAGCTGTAATCTTCAGCCATAACTAGATAGTTGTGCAGTTATGACACATTGTAGGTGGGGCCATATTTCTGGTAAATGTTCAAATGGGCACTGTTTTTGTAGATGTTTGCCAAAGAGTCCCAGGTTCTTTCCGTGGAAAAACAGCAACACACTTCGGGAAGAGGTAAATGTTACTTATTTTCTGGGCAGATGTTATTGTATTATTGATGTAGTTCATGTCAGTGAGTGAAAGACAGGGGCACCCAAGGAGAATATAGTTCAAAACCACTTAAACATAGCACTGTTAAACGTATTTTAGTATTTAAACGGTAGATATAGGCATATTTTCATCCCCTAAAAATTTTTCATCTGTTCGGATTTCCTAGCTGAAAGCCTAGTGATCCGAAAATTATAGGGAACAAAACTTAACTTTTCGAAAATTTCAGCCAGAAAAAAGGCTCCCGAAAATTCTAGGTGACCTTTTTGGGGTAAAAATCTGTTAAAAATAGCCAGTTATACCATTTTTTTGATGTTCGAAAATCATAGGAGAGGCAGGCAAGCAAGAAATTAGATCTAGATCTAAAATCGTCTTACGAACAGATATTCTTCTGAAAATTGTCGTTGGGTGCCCCTGGAAAGACACTATTAGTGAGTTTACAGACAGGCAAGGCCATGGCAGGCCCTATGCATGGCATATGTGTTTGTGTAACACTAAGTTGGGTGCCTTGTGAAAATACCAAATACCATGCTAAATTTTGTTTAAATGCAAGCTAAATTCCAAATTAAGTTTCTGGCATATTGTGGGAAGAAATATGGTGCTCCAGACTTGTTAATATCACATTTTATGTGAACAAGTCCCAAGTCTACAGTAAACATCCAAAAATTTTAACAATGACTACCAATAAACCTAAAAAGAAAAGAGTCCGTACAGGATTTTGTTACAAACTCTTCAGGGATGGTGTGGCCAATGCAAAATTTGTTTAGCAAGTAATGCACTTTTTTTTCCCTGACAGTAGTTCTGACATTCTTTTTCAAATTGTGACTTCTGCCACCTAAAGTGAATGTTTAGTAGTAGTGCATGTTCATTTTAATCTAATGGTCACCCTATTAAACAGAAACATTTTTCCTGTAGGTCCATCATTCACAAGCCTGCCACCCCATCCTAACATCATGCATGTCCTGGGATCCTTTTGTGATGATGTTCCCCTTCTACCTGATGCCACACGTAGCTATCCTGCAGCATTACCTTCAAAATATGGTGATGGGGGGTTTTCTAGAAATCGTACAAAGTTTCTTGTCATGCCAAGGTCAGTAAAACATGTAATTAAAGGATAATATACATTAGCATTCACCAAATCAGTGGATAGCAGTTTTCGCGCATTCTGATTGGCTCCCGTAACTCGGAATATCCTTGGCTGTTCACTGTTTTGCGACTAGAGCTAAGATGGTGTCTCGTTTCGAGACATTTTCGAAAGGCAAAATTTGAGCGATAAATGAAGCTTTCGTACTAACAAATAACAAGAAAGTGACAAACTTTGGCTTCTCAGTGTTTACTGAGAATGTAATGAAACTTTGAAATAGTGGATAAAATATACTTTGAGGTAATAATCAAAAACAAACTGGAGGTATATAGTCATCTCTGTTACAGGTAAAATTTGATTTTAGGTTAACTCTCGTTTTCAAGTTAATTTACATATATCCTAGGTTGATTCTCAATTTCCTTTGAAACTGAGAATCTACCTGAAATTGTTCATGCAACTACACTGTAGTATCTAACAATGCAATGTGCAAATCTTTTGTCAGGCCTTGATTTTTGTAACTGATATGTAATTCTGAGATTTTAGAGAATTATGCTTGTGCATGTAAATTGTAGATATTCATAGCTAAAGTTCTTGATATACCATGAGCCATGAGCCGTTTGAAATTGCAGCATTGCTTTTTTGGAACATGTATTATAATGGGATCGTACATCGTACGGTTTTTAATAGTCAAGATTCCTGGCATCCCATAAAATGACTTCCAGTCATGTTCTTTTGTTCCAGGTACAACAGAACTGTTCATGAGTACACTGCATCAGATGTAACACAAGACCCACGAGTAGCCACCTTACTATTGATTCAGCTTTTAGAAGGCATAACACACCTAACCAGATATGGAGTTGCACACAGAGACCTCAAGACTGATAACTTACTCTTGGATGAAAGCACTAGTGACTTGTGCCCGCACCTGGTTATTGCTGACTTTGGTTGTTGCCTTGCTGATCAACAATGGGGACTGACACTACCATTTATCACAGAGGAAATTGATCGGGGCGGAAACAGTGCCCTTATGGCTCCAGAGGTATTTTTTTGTTGTTGTTTTTTGTTGTGGTTGTTATTTGTTTGTTTGTTTCATTAGGCAGTGCTTCTTTTTGAAGAATAATATTTTATAATAATATTTTTTTTATTATTATTTTTACTGCCAATTTCCTACTCTGTTTTTTCTCTTTGACCTCTACAGTGGCAGATCCAGACCAAGATAAGGAGGGGGGGTCATCCAGACCCTGAGATAAAGGGGGGGGCAGTCTCCAAAAAAAATATTTTCGGCCCTTTGGGCCTCAGTTTGGTCTAAAAATAAGGGGGGGCACAGGTCACCCGGGTCCCTCCCCTGGATCCGCCACTGCTCTACTCTAAAATGGCATTTGTGTTTTTGCAGATTGCCACTGCTGTCCCTGGCGAGCATGCTGTCCTTGACTACACTAAATCTGATGGTAAGCTTCCAATGATGATCCTGCACAAATGAGATGTTTATTTGTTTAGCTTGTTCCGGGCTCCAAGATAGTATGTGCAGTTATCATGATAACTGGTGCAAAAAACACTTACCTCCCTTTTCCCAAATAAGGCAAATCATATTTTGAACTCTTGACTGTATTTTCACCATGTCCCTACCAACTGACATCCAGGAACAGGCTAATATTTGTAATGAGTAACAAGTAGAACAAATTTAACCTCTTATGAGTAAAATCAGCACTCAGTTGTTATACTGACTTCAGTGTGTGACAGAGAGGACACTCTGCTTCTTAAAAAAATTAATATACCAGTACATGAGTGGCAATTGTTATGTTCAGGACCTGAAGAGGGGACAGACATCCAGTATAATTTTGTTTTGAATGACTAAGTGGCTTCAGTCATTTTTCACTACCTGATTTTTTGCAACAAGCCTGGTCAGCTGCCAACTCAATAAGGCATCGCAGGGTGCATCAGAATACTGTCTGATAGCCCAGGTCTAGTGAAGTGACCTATCTGGCTAGCATGTTTTTGATTTTGAGTTGTCTGATGGGCAAGCACCATTTGCCAAGATGACAAATGTTAATGAAATAAGGGTTGGTACATAGGCCTGCTCTAAGCTAGTAAAATTCAGAACGGCAAGTGATTTTTTAATTTTCATCCTCACAATGAATCTGTTCTTCTTGAATTCAATTTCGATGCAGAATGGTATTAAAAAATATTCTCTTCTCTATTAGCATGGGCGGCTGGAGCCATCAGTTATGAACTCTTTGGTAGAAACAATCCTTTTGGTAAGAATGTATTGAACAGCGGGAACTACAAAGATGAACAACTTCCCCCACTTAGCCAGTAAGTAAAATGTAAACAACGGTAGTTATGATCTAGTAATCTTCATCTCCTACTGTGGCTTTTTTTGCCTTCTGTTGGCTGACTACCTTTATAACAACAGCTTTTCAGGGAGCAGTTCTTTCACTTTATTATAGTAAAAAATGATGTGCACTGTAGATACAATGCAAGCTGTAAATCTACCACCCCTTGCTGAATAACTTCAATTCTACAGTTTAGGTCCCTTAGTAGAATGGCTCGCTTAGCATAAATGATGTGTCTGGTCATTGGTAATGTCCTCACACCCACCCCCTCCCAAACCAGCTGAATTGATTTCTGCTCTATCTTATGCACTTGTCAGGGCCCCAGCAGGGGTGGCGACAGTAGTGTCTCTTCTCCTCAAAAGAGACCCTTCTGAGAGGATATCTGCTGACAAAGCAGTGACAATGCTAGCCTTGGTGTTATGGGCCCCTGCTTCCTGGTTACAAGGCAAATGCGTCTCAGCTGTTGATGTTGATAGGTGAGTACCACTGGATAATTTCATCTCCATTGATTGACCGTAGTTATTATTTTTACTTTAAACCAATCAAGGTATTGGAAGGTAGGTGCTGTGATGGTTGCGAAAGAGGAGAGCAGCAATCTCCTCAGCAGTCAGGAGGTAACCATAGCAATGCAGGAACCATATAGTTTGAGAAACGAGTGTGAACCCAACGACACAAATATGGGAGGGAGGGGACAATCAGAAAGCATACCAGCAACCGTTGGTCCGACGCATAATCGAATCACATTTACCCTGCCCGACCCTTTCCCCCACCCTCCACCCACACACACACACACCCATACCGGTAACAAGAGTCTTTTTGACGGCCTAAATTATCATATAATGTCCGTTCCTTGTGCAATTTAGGTGGCTTATAAGCCAGATGCTTGTCGGGAAAAGAACGTGTCCAGTTGAGGATAAGGTCAGTTTTTTTAAACCTGTAAAAAACCCTATCTCAAAATAGTCATTAGTACGTCCTTATATTTGGTAAAAACAAACTTGCCCAGGGAGATGTGCCCTAAAGTACCCGGATGTACAACAACGAAAGGCATCCCCGCCCTTTTATTATCGGAGTTTTCGCCTCCGCCGCCATCACCAGGAACTGTTATGATTCCTGGTTCCAGTTAGGGCTCCAAGTTTCAGGTGTAAGTTATTACTACGATACCCTTTTTTCCCATTAGATTATGCGCCGATTCTTGTGTCGTATCACGGAAGAAGAAGTCTTGGACGCTCTTGAACTGTTGAACGTGTACGTGGAACAAACCAGTAACTTAGCTGCAGTAGGGTAATTCGGAAGTAAACAGGATTTCACAATGTAAAGATATCAGATGTAGAAAAGTGGATTCGATTGTTTTCAGAAATGGTAAAGGTTTCTCATTAGTGCAAATAGGCGAATGTATAGGAAAGACTTCTCGCGACTTCTTAACTCAGAAAAGGGAGGCAAGTTTAGTAGCCTGTAAGCAGGCTGGCTTGTTTAGGGTAGCGTGAGACCCGCCAGCGCGAGCGAGGAGAATGTGGTAAGGGAAAGTGTCCTTGCCCCATTTTTTCCCGCCAGCGCGATACCCTAAACAAACAAGCGAGCCCTTCTTGCTCGCAGGCTGTAGGAAAGGAATATAGAATAGCACATAATGCTTGAATTACAAAGTCCTCCACGGTCGGTAGCCACGGTTAGAGTCAGCAAATGCAAATGCGCTTACAGTAAGCGGAGTTGTAACATGGACAAGCACGTGATTCCACTGTACAGTTTAGTTATGAAAAAGTTTTAATTTGAAACATAGAACAGGGGACGTTATTACCAAGATAAGTAGCATGGATCCTACTCGTCCATTGTTCAAGTAGAGGTAATTATAATATTAAATCTTGCATTACGGCTGAGGAAGAAAGTGTTTTTCGGGGGTGGGGGGGGCAGCATTTTATCCCAAAGCGGAGAGATGGAGCTGAACATGGTCTACCAAAGAAAACTGGGAAGGAAGGGAGCGAGTGGGGGGAGGTCTTTACTCCTGGAGTAACATAGTTGTGCTTAACGTCGTAGTTGCAAGTCTACTGATCACTCAGACTGAATCACAGTGCCTATGGAATTAACTAAAAAAACAATTTCTTTTTTCGCAGCTCTTCAAATTCGCTTCCCTATCCAGACAGTTTTATCTTCCATTCTATGCTTCAAATTTCTTTACATTATCTAGTAATCCTGCGCTACCAAAACTATGAATTGGGGTGGGCTAAGCTCAACACATTCATTTGGAGACCCAGGGGAACTGGGGTCGAGAGTACTAGTCGTGGGGACGGGACAGTTTTTCCTTGTCCAGTTGTCTCGACTAGCCGTCCTTGGGCCTCCAGAAGACTATCAAAACAGACTAATTGGTGTGAAGTAGAGGTTGTTTTCAATGAGAGAACTATTAGACCCGAAAACCGACTGGGGGCTTTTGGTGAAAGAGAGACTTGGGACTCGTTTCCGTGCACAGGTGCATTTTGCCTGTTTACTCAAGATCTGAGAGACAATAATACTATCAGCTAACGAAACAAAATCACTGTTCCTTAGATCTAATAAACCTTTTTTAAGACGAACAGTAGCACGGTCTAAAATGAAATTAGATTTCCAGATTTTTGGGGGACCCCCTGGGGGGGGGGCCGAGAGAAAACCGTTTTTTGACCGAATGATCTCCCTACCTACCGGGATGTGTAGCCTATACCTGCCAACTTTTTCTGAGATATAAGCGTGAGATTTTTATCCTGGGAGTGCTGGGATTTTTGAAGACGACACGATCATTTCCGAACATTCCCGAAGAAGTCCGACGTCTTCCGAAAAAGTCCGAAGTTTTCCGAAAACGTCCGAAGTCTGCCGAAGGCAAGCTCGCTCCCAGTGCTTTTCACTTCAAAGATCAGAGATCGCGAGGAAGGTATTGTCATTTATCCATTTTACACATGGTTTTCGTTCCTTACATGGGTCTGAGTTAACATATTTTTGGAAATTGTGTCAAGTAAGACGGCAACAACTCACATTTTTCAATCAGGCGTGAGAAATTGGCCCGCAAGCGTGAGCCGGCGTGAGATCGAAGTTTTCAACCCGCAGGCGTGAGACTCACGCCTAAGGCGTGAGAGTTGGCAGGTATAGTGTAGCCGCGTATAGTTTTCGCGCCACACTTTGTGCGTGCAATACAGTACTTCACTCACTAGTAGATCAAGTGAACGTTCCTTCGGGTGCACGTTTATCTCTTTATTCAAGCTTTTTGAATTTTTAAAAGCTCAATGAACCGACAGGCATGGAAGTAAAGTGAACATTTTCACGGTCCAGCAAAATAAGCTACGTTACCAATCTCTGCTTTTCATTTGGACCGGAGAAACAATTCAGAAGGTGAGAAACGCAAAGTAGTCTACCACTAATAAGCTAAACCATTTTTTGCTAGTTTTTACTGAACCTTTTATGGAGAACAAACTGAAAGGCCTTATAGCGTTTTTTTGGATTCAATCTTTTCGATTCAGACCATAGTAAGTAGCAGACTAGTTTAAATGAAAGCTTCCTTACCCCGCACAGTAATTCTTTTGTTCACAAGGTGCGACTGAATAAGTTAATGCGACATAACCATATGCCTATACTACTGGAAAAAGTGAAAAAAGTTCACAAAAAAGGTAAAAGAAATACGCCTGACGGGCTACAGAAACATGTCACTTTAGCAACAATGTCCAGACCAATTCCCTAGAAAAGCTTTTCGAGTCTTTTTTCAGTTCCCAGTTGGAAGAAAGAAAGGTTAACGTCTCCGAAAAACATCAACCTTGGTAAACTTAAGCTTAAGCTTGAGCTTATAAGCAAGAAAATACACACCAAATAGAGAAATAATGTAATATTTCGGTCCTTATTGTAAGATCCATTCGTCGGCGGGTAAAGCTTGTTGAAAGCCGCAAACTCCTTTAATTTGTGCTCGTTTTCCCTGGTTCCTCGGAAATCACGGCAAGGCTTCCCAGAAAATAAAAAAGCAAAGTAATTAGGCTCATAAGGATCAGGGTAGACTAAATGTTACTCACAGCGACCTCAGTACATATTTTATTTTCATTTCTGACTGAATAGTCCCTTCCATTTACTATGTTTTCTTATAAGCTCATGTCTTGGACCAGCTATCGGAATTGTATGGACACTTCTGAAACTGACCAACTGAATGGTAAAAGATTGGCTGCCGGATGACCACGTTGGGGCCTGTCTCCATGGAGTAAAAATAGTGTCCCCAATCTTTCGGGGTTGGTTTAAACTTTTTTTTTTTTTTTCCATTGTCTATGCTCTGGGGAACAAAATCTGAAATGTACCCCACTTAGACTGAAACTGACCAACTGAATGGTGAAAGATTGCTGCCTGTGTTTAATAGTTCAAACAAGTGATTGAATATCCTGTATCAAATGTAACATGAACGGAGCATACAGTGTTCGTGTCAAAACGTTGGTGAGCGGTCTCAAGGAAAAGGATTTAAAAAAAAAGGAACATGTCTAGATTAAAATTAATTGTAGAAAAACGTTTACAGCACAGCTTTGATCTACGAAATATTTTAGAAAAGAAAAAGGTTGCCTCGCCTCCAAGTCGCACTGAAGTGTTACAAACATTTCGAAGAAACCGTGGAACGCAAATATTCGTTTAAAAGAAACTGAAAAATGCACGCACATTGTAACGTTCAAATACAATTCAAAACAAAGACGTAACGTTACATGGGCGCGCTAACTTTGAGATGCTCAAATAAAAGTAAAGTTAACGTTCTGTCCAGGTGGGACTAGAGTCCGGTTGCTGAATACCTTTCGCCATTTGAATATCATTCGGCATTTGATGACATAAATCACGTTTTTGCAGACACGAGGAACGGTTCGAGCATGATGGTATTGGAACGTCGAGGTGTTATTGTGATGTTTCAAGATGGCGCAGGTAAAATTGTGGTTTGTGGTTAAAAATCCTGCTGCATCGTGGGTAGAAATCGAAAATTTTTGGTCCTGTACGGATTAGGTCTGACTTCTTACTCGCTCGCTTCAGGCTCGCTCGCGCAGCGGCAATTATTTTTCTTGCCAAATTTAAGGTAATTCCTGCGCATCGCCTATTGCGTACAACATTGCGACTCACCGGTCGCCTAAAGAGAGATAACAAAGGCCCTCCTGTTTTACAAATGGTTTAAATAGCGATTTTGATAACTCTTCCGGGCTAAAATAAGGTGTTGGTCTTTAAACTCGCCCCAGTCCCTTTGCGCAAAATGATCATTTGAAAACGATGTGTCACTTTCTTGTCTTTTTGCGATTAAACGAGTACGGTGACCCCCCTTTTTTATTGGTTACTACCCGAAAAGTATACCATGTATCTTAAGGAGAAAAACATCTGAATTGCAGGAGTTGTATTATTTAGATACGAATAACTTGAAACTCCGCTTTTAGAGCCACAGAGAATTATGAGATAATGTCAATCAAAATTGCTTTTTGACCATAAGTTGACATTTCGATATGACAAACTCTGGAGGAAACTAACGATAATTTACAGTAAGAGTAATGTAGAAAGTTTTGTGTCAATCGAAGCAAAAGATAAGGACTTAGATAGGGAGGCTAGTTGTTACAAGCCTTGCAGAGCTCCATGTTAAGCCAAAGCGCAAAACACGAAGTAAGGGGGTTGGCCAATTTTGAAATTAAAGACTACGAGCAAAAAATACTTCATTCAAGATACACAGCAGCGTACAGCTAGTCACCTTAGAGTGTTGCAGTGTGGATGAAAATGCTTGTCAAGTGACTTTTTGAAGCGCAAACCCCAGCCCGAGGCCACTGACTAACCCTAACTGTTGAACTAACTCACTTGGAGGTCAAAGCACCAATACTTATTTTGTAATCCTAACAAAGCCCCTTGGTAAGAGTCCAGCTAGGCCTTACATTTTCTGGGAGTGTCAAATATCTAAGGCACGTGATGCAAATCGTTCCAATAAAAATTGTCCACTTCCTTACACTTTCAAAGTTTACAAGATCAAGAAATTCTCGAAGTCCCTCGGTACTGCACCATTGAAAGCCTTAAAAACTCAATGCAACATTTTGAACCAATTACAACCCAACTGTGGATCTCTGTTGGAGGGGTATGAGTCAAATTGCTATAATAACAAATCTCGGGTTTAAAAGATGGCATTCTTCTTCCGTCATTTGAGCAAAAAGTTTGGAAATGAACCTCGATAGAACGTATCCCTAACCCGCATATAGAGATATGGGGAGCGCAAAAACACCATTACATCATGATTCCACTGTATAACGTGACCTGGGAGATGGGGTCCTTCTGGGGCCCGTTTCTCTTAACCGCATCCTGGTAACTTTTCGGCTCCGAAATCAAATATTCAAATCAAAATCTAAAGACTGAATAAAAGCGCGGGTCCTGGCCGACCAACTAGTGTTATCTGCAACACCATTGAAACCTCGATCTTGAATGTAAACAAAAACAGCTTTCAAGCCCTGTAAATACCGGCACTGTAGAGAAAGGGGCCGCACTGAAACCGTTAGGACAGTCGGAAAGCGTGAGTGCTAGTCACAATATCTCCAAATCAATTGAAACCTCGATCTTAAATGTAAACATATGGCAGCTTTCCGGGCTCAATAATTTATAACGGGACCTTCGAGAAACGGACCCCTGGTCACTCCAAGAAGTTCCCACATCTTACTCTTTGAGTTCTAGCCCTTTAGTACCCTCGCAACTCACAACTTATCACGCTTATCGATTTCATAAATTGTCGATAAAGACAAGAATTTGAATTAAATGAATTGCCGGACAGAATCAAATGATACCATTTTTTCCAGTTTTCTTTTTTAAGGAAAGTTTTCTAAAAATTGAAATTACAGCCGAAGAGTTCATATTGTCTAATACCAAAGAGGTAGCTCACTAAGCTAACATG